GATGATATCAACTGGATGAATCTTTTTTACTTTAGCCCCATCTTATACTAGAGGTCACTCTTTAAAACTTTTGAAGAAACAGTGTTGGATGACACATAGACTTAATAATACTTTTTCAATTAGAGTAGTGGATCAGTGGAATACCCTGTCAGATTTAACAGTGACAGCAAGGTCTTTTGAACAATTCTAAGTTGGCATTAAATGATGAACACTGAACCCATAAAAATTTATATTGTTACCCACACGTAGACAAGTTTTTATTATCATAATTATATTTTAATAAGTACAATGTATGACTCCCTGATAAATCGGCCCATAACAAACTCGGACTATAACAAACTCAGCCTATAACACAATCAGCCTCACAAAATCGGACTATGGCAAACTCTGACTATAACAAACTCAGACTACTAGAAGAATATAAGTATGATAATGGATGTTATTTTCTTTATTTGAAATTAATTAGTAGTATTTTGTTTTAGATAAATTATGAGTTAGAATTATTGAATGATTTATTTTGAATATTTTACAAGCAAGAATTATAAGTTACGTTATCTAGATATAAAAAGAAAAGTAAGACTAATTTCAGTTGACAATAAAAAGTTACCACTATTTTGGCCTTTTCTTTTCTTTGATCTTATTTTGGTGTCCTTTAAAAAATTATTTATCATATTCATGACTTATTTGGTTGAACTTGGAATACATGTATGATATCATACTGCCACGTATTGGTGAAACGTTTTTAATCACCTTAATTTAAACTAATAACTGGCACGTGTACTGTTGACACCTTTTTAATCACCCATAGAATCGAATTAGTAGCAAATAGTAATAAATGGGAAAACTGGGCAACTTGTATTAAAACACTGTTATATGATCTTGGTATGAATGATTATGGGGACAATTAATGGGTACTTTGTTTGGATACATGTAGTTCTTTTTTTTACTCAAATTAACCAAACAACGGTTATAAAAGCTAAGCAAGAGTTACATTTTATGCTTGAAACATCACCATAGTGTAGAATGTATCAGTATATTGTGTCAAATTTAGAATTACAATGTGTATTATGTGTGATCTAAATGTAGTAGAGAATGAATTTTATTTTACAATGTCAAAATTATACTGATGTACATAAAAAGTTTATCAAAAAATATTATTGGTCTAGACTTTCAACTTATAAATTAGTACAATTACTTTATCTTGAAAACATGAGTTATACATGTATGTTAGTTATACGTTGACAAGCCATTCACTGCCAATCTAATTTCTCTTTGTTTGTATGCCAGTTATAAACACATCCTCATTTAAAAGTATTAAATTCAAACAACACAATCTAAAAATTATAGGCCGAATTCGTTCTTTAATTCTTTATATATAAATAATGGTAGGCCGAGTTTGTTATAGTCCAAGTTTGTGATAGGCTGAGTTTGTTTTAGGCTGACTTATCCAGCAGCGCAATGTCAGTGTCTTCCCTAGAAAATTTTTCCTGCATGGTGGGTCCATGGTGAATTTGCAACGCGGCGCACAACGCTTCTTTTTCAGAATTAGTTACACTACATAATATTTATGTTTAAAGCCATATACCAATCTAATTGTTTTATTATAGGTACAGCAATTCATACAATTCATGGAACTTTAAAGTATTTATCACAGATGAGAGTAATTAACTAAAGACCTTATAAGCAATAATAAAAAAAATCCAGTCTGCAATAGTTATTTACTATTTAATGTCATGTACACATTATTTTGTTGATATCTTCCTCTGTTTCAACTTTCCAAAGGTCACCACACATTTTTCAAAATCAAAATCTTCCTTCTTTGGTCCTTCAATTGATACATGTATATGCATTAAGCAATTCAGCACTTTTTGACATAGTCTGTTTCTCAACTTCAGGGCTTTGCTCATGGTGATGATTTTTATCTGTCTGACTACAATTTGATGAAGGAGTAGACCATAGCCAGAAATTAGTAGTACTTTTGCTAATTAATATTCATAATATGTAAATGAGAATTGTACCACGTGATAATAGTTTGAACTGGACTGGCTTGATATCATTAAAATCTTTAAAACACGGACATTATAAGTTGCCCGTCACAGAGTCCTTGTTTATAATCACTCTGATATTTCCGTAAAGTTGTCAGGCGGTCAAAATCAAAACAATGAACGCGAATTTAGTGAATTTTTCGTGTTTTCGTGAGTTTATTTTTCTTGAAATAGAGGCATTTTAACTTTACGTGGGAACCTAGAGTTCAACGACTACACATACAAGGTTTGGACTTGCTTATTCTTTTGACATTCAAGTTTCAAGTTTCACCCCGGCAACCTGTATTTCTAATGACCTTGTTAGCCAATTTTCAACACCAAGTTTGCAAATTTGACGTTTCAGCCATTTTAGTCTGTATTTTATACTGCAATGTTAAAAGCCTCTCGCTTTGATTTTTAAAATAGCTCAAGAACCTTGATTTTTGCAACGCCAGTCATTATATTTCGTTTAAATGGTGTATATTGTTGTGTATATTTATTTTCTGCCCCGGCAACCTGTCTATCACTTAAATCAAAGTTAAAACAGACATTTTTTCTAAATTCCCTATCATTTCAATATAATTTCCGTGACCCATATCTGATTTCTTTAGTATAATATTCAAATAAGCAAAGTGGCGTTGATTTCTGGATATGCTTTTCTGAGTCTTCTCTAACCAACTTGTCAAAAAAGTTGGGCCAGTAAGGCGACCTTTCTTTGATGGTTGCTTGAATTGGACATGGTTGTTTAAATGATTGATGTTTGTTCTTTGAATTTTGCTGATAGAATGATTTCAGCATCAACAGCAACTTGTTAAATAAAACTTTGAATGTCATCATTGCTTCACAGAGATTTTACAGGAAACAATATTATAAAAAAAAATTATTTGCGTTAATTACAGAAGTCGTCAATGAAGAATATCTGACCTACGAACATACAGATGACATATTTGGCAATAACCTGTTTGGAAGCTAAGCTAACATTTTATTTCATGACAATTAACTATTTTTTTACATACATCCCTGTCCGATTTAGTTATAACCTTTCATAATTGTAAAAATCCAATCTTGCCGAAGTGAAAGAAATTAAGCCCCACTTGTGTAAAAAACGGCAAATGAATCCGCTACACCTAAGCTTGTGACCCATTGAAATACAAATAGAACAACACAAGTTTATTAAAAACAATATTTCCGTAACTAAATACGTTTTTTTTGAAAGTTTTTCTATGAAATCTTTTAAATATTTCATAAGATACGTCTTTTTCTCTGCCCGGTGGCGGTTATGTGTATTCTTTGATATAATCAATCAACCGCGACTAATCTAAAAATAACTGATTGTTGTGACCAATTAAAAAATAATTCATCGATGTAAATATAGCCGATGAAATAACTAAGAAACTTCATTAAAAAAAATTGTTTTGTTCATTCTCGGTGAAATTACGTTAGTTTTATTTTATGATACCAGAGACTATACCAAATTTTAAATTTCTACTTTTTAAAGATGAACAGTAAAATAACGATGTCAAACACCCGTTTTAAAGGTGAAATTTATACTGGAAAAGGTTAAACTTTTATTTAGCACAGAAAGATGTGCATTGGAGATTTATCTGACTATTTACTTATCAGCTAACTGGCCACTTCTATTATGTAACCGAAGTCTCGATATCAAGAAGGTTGTAAAATCCCGGCAGGCGCGACGTGATGCATCCAATTATCAGTCGGATGAGTTTAAAACACCTGTGGAGTGTTGTCACTTGTCACTTCACTTTCAAAATATGGATAATAAATATTTTACACAGTTATAATTTTCACACATAGCGGGATGCATTGCGGCAATGATGAAAGCATGGCAGTCGAAATTTATGTGTAGCGGTACCGCAATGCTTGAATAGCCTAGGGAAAACACTGAATGTATATAAATGAACATATATATATATTTGTTACTGGATGACAAATTGCATTTAGTACATTCCATGATAATCATGGTTTATTGTATATTCAAAGAAGAAGATGAGGGGTCAGTAGCCTTATTTAAGACCCGAAGACAAAGGATGAAAGCTAGCTTAAGGTTATCAAATGGGTAAAGTTCCATTTCTGAATAATGAAAAAAAATTAACAAAATCTGTAGGTGGTACACAAGCCCCTGTGATTCAACAGGTCAGGAATAACCACCAATTGGTGGATTATACCTCAATTGACGTATAATCCACCAATTGACATATATTGGTATAGACCAATTGACGTATAATGCAAGTTTTTTGTTATAAAATGCTAGTGTGAGATAGGAGCATCATTTTGCAGCTTACAACCTATTTTATGACCATTATTGAGTCCTCCGAAAGTTTCAGTTTTGTCAAAGCCTGCTGCATCTCTTGAGAATGCATGTGTACAACAATTCTTTTGTTGAAACATCTACTATTGACCATGATTGACTTTTAATAATGAAAGTCAAGTATTAACAAAGAGCTCCATTCACCTGTGGAGTTGTACTCATAATCACATGACTGCAGACAGTATTGATGTCCATTGACAGGTGATTTAAGTGGTAAATTTGCCAATCAAGAATTGACAAGATAACAATAGAAGAAACTGCAAATACAATTATTGATTAAATGCAATATGTATTGTCACTATACTAAACTAGGAATGTTTGACATGTTTTCATACAATAATATGGTTTTAAGAAAACAATGCTCCATTTTGGTTGAATAATTTGCTTTGAAAAACAAAGAATTATACGTCAATTGGTCTATACCATTATATGTCAATTGGTGGATTATACATCAATTGAGGTATAATCCACCAATTGGTGGTTATTCCTGACCTGTTCAATGACAATGTAGTCAGGAACATATATATTGACGTTAGATATACTGTTCCCAGATGTAGTGTACAATTTTCAAATAAAACTAGATATACGATACTTTGATCTGTAAAAATAATAACGCAAGGTAAATTATAAAGCTTAAATTACTCTTAACATTACGGCAAACACAAGCAGAGATTGTTTTCATGGAAGCTGACATCTTGGCATTTTCGGAATTCTCTGGCTTTTCTCTGACTCTTATCGACAGCTTTTTTGGCGGGAAAGTTAATTTTAAAATGTCCATAAACATTTCCGACGAGGACGTAGCTCAAGTTTCCTTGTTGTGTCCTGATGCAGATGAAGACTATATAAGGCATAACCTTTCGATCACAGGAGACGTCAATACCACAATAAATAGTATTTTAGATGGAAATGTAATAATGTATACTGTAAATATGGTAAAAAAATAAATAAATACAGAAGAATTCGGTCTATGGTCGCTGTAGAGACATATATACACCAAGTCTCAGGCTGCTGTAACCCTGGACTATTCTATATAGCTACTAACAATACACCTTATCTCTATTTGTCCGCCATTACTGTACATCACAAAGGTTCCCGTAAAATTTTGACGTCAGACTCACAATACTAATAGAAAATATCTGATCAGTGTCTTCCCTAGAAAATTTTTCATGCATGGTGGGTCCATGGTGAATTTGCAACGCGGCACACGACGCTTTTTCAGAATTAGTTACATTAAATAATTTATATGTTTAAAGCCATATACCAATCTAATTGTTTTATTATAGGTACAGCAATTCATATAAGTCATGGAATTTTAAAGTATTTATCACAGATGAGAGTAATTAATGAAAGACCATATAAACAATAATAACAATAATCCAGTCTGCAATAGTTATTTACAAATTAATGTCATATACACATTATTTTGTTGATATCTTCCTCTGTTTCAACTTTCCCAGAGACATATATACACAAGTGTTGTCACTTGTTACTTCACTTTCAAAATATCGATAATAAATATTTTACACAGTTATAATTTTCACACATAGCGGGATGCATTGCGGCAATGATGAAAGCATGGCGGTCGAAATTTATGCGTAGCGGTACCGCAATGCTTGAATAGCCTAGGGAAAACACTGCTGATGCCACAAATTTTTTGGAAAAGTGATTGTTGTATGACGTCAATAGTTGCCCGGGACAAGCGGCACAGATTTCCAAATAGCGATAAGTTCTATATATTAGATATGTCCCAGCTGTAACATAGACTAGGATCCTGGCTCACGGTATTGGGTCCGTTTTCACACTACACGTTCACACCTCACATGTTCGCCCCTAGGTTCGTTCGCACCCTATTTTCATACAGATACAGGTTAAATTATTAGATGCTTTTTAGATATGTGTATCGTCAAATGGTCAAAATATTAATACTTTCTTGATTAAAAATTTGTTATTTTTTTAATGTGGTGGCATTGTCATTGTGAAGAGTTTGATAGCCGTAGGGTATTTCCTCCATCTTTTTTTACAAGTCTTAGATGAATGCATGAACTCTCAGGGGCGCGTATCATAGATGTTTTTGGGGCGGAAATATATGCCAGTCAACTGGTATGCGTCCTACATTGTGTTAATAGCATATCATAGATGTTTTTGGGGCGGAAATATACTGTTATGAACTTGGCCAAAACACCAAAGGAAACCTGTTTACATTTTTAGAATGTCACTTTATGAGGGTCGTAATGGGGGTACCTTCATGACGAATAATGCTAAAAATTCTTGCAAAATGACATTAAAGGTAATTTTTGGTACATGACGATAAACTGTATACTTGCTTTTAGATGATAAAAAAATCAACTGATTTTGACGAATATATAATAAACAATGGTAACGATAATTATTCAAGACCTCTGACGAATCACGATAAGGATATTTTGACGAATCACGGTAAAATTATAACCAATTTGACGCTAACGTTAGCTGAAAATGACCGTTTGACACCTGACGGTAAAGGGCATTCCTCCCCTCCGTTATCAGGTTGGGGAGGATCCTCATAAAGAATATTCCCCCAAAACGGGTATCAGTTTTCAGTGATAAAAATATAAACTTTGGATTTACAGATATTTTCTGTCATTGGGCAAACATTCGATTGCCTAAAGACGCCATGACTGAAATATCATCAGGATAAAAGTTAACCGCTTTCAAAAAGTAGAGGCCATTATCTTTGTATTCAGTTCTCATTTGAACTATGGTCTTAAAGGGGAAAATATTGCCATTTATATGAATATTTTCGCATGACAGCTATCATGTTTTTGTCTCGCCTTGACGTAGTCAAAAAGCTAGACATAGGTACTGGTATGCTGTTTCCGGTGTCGGCGTCGGCGGCGTCAACAATGTATTAGTTTGTGATTAGGTCTAGTTCATGGTGAACCACTAGTGATAGGTCAATGATATTTGGTATGCAGTTGTATTAGCATTGGCACATCTAATTACCATGGAGATTATTTGGCCCCGCCCCCTCAGTCAAGGTCTATTGACTTTGAAACTTTGCTTAGTTTACATGTATTAGTTTGTGATTAGGTCAGTTTATGGGGAACCACTAGTGGAAGGTCAATGATATTTGGTATGCAGTTGTATAAGCATTGGTATATCTCATTTCCATGGAGATTATTTGGCCCAGCCCTCTCATTCATGGTCTATTGACTTTGAAATTTTTGCTTAGTTTTCATGTATTAGTTTGTGATTAGGTCAGTTTAAGGGCAACCGTTAGTGGTAGGTCAATGATAATTGGTATGCAGTTGTATAAGCATTAGCACATCTCATTTCCATGGAGAATATTTGGTCCCTACCCCTCAGTCATGGTCTATTGACTTTGAAACTTTTACATAGTTTACATGTATTAGTTATTGGTTAGTTCAGTTTAAGATGAACCACTAATGTAAAGTCAATGATATTGGGTATACAAATGTATTGGCATTTGCAAGTTTCATTTCCATGGAGATTATATAACCCCACCCCCTAATTATGGTTCATTGACTTTGAAACTTTTACATAGTTTACAAGTTAATGTTTGTGTTTAGGTTTGTTTAAAGGGAACGACTTATGAAAAGTCAATGGTATTTGGTTTGCAGTTGTATTAGCATTGTCACATCTCATTTCCATGGAGATTGTTTAGCCCTGTACCTTCAGTCATGGTTCATTGACTTTGAATATTTGCATAACTTACATGTTAAAGTATTGCTATTTTAATTTCATCAACATTTGCATTATCAAAATAACAAATAGGCGAGACCATATCTCTGTGATAACAGTTTATTATAACTGTAGATTGATACCCAATTTATGGTATAATACCCATAAATGCGGATAGTACCCATTTGACCCAGATGAAGATCTTCTCCAACCTGTTTATTTTAAAGCAATATAAAAAAAATATTATCTTTATTTTATAGGAATACACTAACTAGAACACAATTAAAAAATTATTCAACACAAAACCTTTAAAAAGGGAACTATCATGTACGGTGACAATGTGAATGGTAGCGAACATGATTTTGGGCAAATGGACCTGGATTCCTGGCTCACTGCTCCACTAGAGCCAGGTGGAATACAACATCCAATTGATCATGTTCATGTTGATCATTCATTGTTCATGAATGTAACAGACTCATGTGGAGTAATTAATGCTGAAAAGTGGTCACATGGATGGTATTACGCCTTACCATACTGACACATAAAGGAGGTTTGGCCAGGATGCCAGGCTAACTGGTCACACTGCATTCTGGAAAATTCAGTCCATTTGTACCTGTTTTTTATTTTGTTGCATTATATTGTTGTATAATGGTATAATTTAGTATTTGAATAGAGTATGTTATAGCTTGTACTGTTGAAAATTTTGTAGAATATTTATATTGTACTGTATTCAGCACTAAACATATTCATAATTTCCAATGTTTTGGAAATACATCACAAACATAAAAAAACAGACAATCGCAACTTTTTTCAATAAATAACACACCTGTAGCACAAAAATACCTAAGACTAGAACAATAAAACACTATAAAAAACTAGCAGTGACATCAAATGCTCTCAAAAAGGATTGTCACATATTATAAGCAAGCTTGAGTGGTTTCCTCAGACAAGTTCTTCCTTTAATTTCCATATTTTTTTACGTACTAGTCATTTTACACTAGTAAAAAACCCACTGATAATATAAATGGGGTGCTTAAAATATAGAGAAATGATAGGATAATAATGGGTTTTTTTGGGAGGGGGTTTCAAAACTTGTTACAGGTTCTGTGTTGTCAGACTAAACATTTTTCACACTAAGTGCCTCTTATCTTGGTCTAACTACTGTGTTACACCTTATATAGAAGAGGGACAAAAGACACCAGAGGGACAGTCAAACTCATAGATCGAAAACAAACTGACAACACCATGGCCAAAAATAAAAAGACAAACAGACAAATAATAGTACAGATGACACAACATAGAAAACTAAAGACTAAGCAACACGAACCCCACCAAAAACTGGGGGTGATCTCAGGTGCTCCAGAAGGGTAAGCAGATCCTGCTCCACATGTGGCAACCGTCGGGTTGCTTATGTTATTACAAATCCGGTAAATAGTCTAATTCTGTAGGTTATATAGCTGTTGCCAAATAATGTGATAGTGATGCCAATAACTCAGTTTGGCCTTTTATTAGCTCACCTGTCTCACCTGTCACTTGTGGTCTTCCATCGTAATAAACGTTTTCAAAGATCTCTGAAACTACTGAACCAATTTCAACAAAACTTGAGGTGAACAATTCGTATAGTATGTTGTATTTGTTTTTTATTCCAGTCAGTCAACAAACATGGCCACCATGGCTAAAAATAGAACATACTTTTAATTTTAGTTTCTTTTATATATTTCGGAGTTAAGTATGACGTCCATTATTACTGAACTAGTACATTTTTTTGTTTAGGGGCCAGCTAAAGCACACCTCCGGGTGCAGGATTTTCTCACTGTATTGAAGACCCATTGGTAGCATTCGGCTGTTTTCTGCTCTTTGGTCGGGTTGTTGTCTCTTTGACACATTCCCCATTTCCATTCTCAATTTTATTGTAGGGGTAAAATGCAATTTCTGGCTTATATCTCAAAAACTAAAGCTGTTAGAGCAGTGGGTTAAATTGATCAGCAGGTCAATATGTAGTATTTGGTAGAAAATTTTCAGATGGATCAGACAACTTCATTTGGCATTATTGCCCGTAAATAATAATTTTTTATGAATTTTCTCCTTTTTGGTTATTATCTTGAAAAATATTATAGATAAAGAGAAATATTGGACAGGAAAAATGTTCAGCAAAGTAGGATCGTTCATTGAGTCTAGGACAGAATTCTATGATAGATAGAGAAAAACTTAATTTGCAAAAATGTTTAGCCAAGTCAGACCTACAAATAAGTCAACATGACAGAAATATCCTCAATTAATCTATTATAGGAGCTATTGCCCTTCATGCCCTTGAAAGATGAATTTTTTAAGTTTTTTTTTACAGAAACTATGGCGGATGGAAAGAATCTTTAACCATGTTAACAGCGACAGTGCAAACTTTGTATTATAAAGCTTTATATTTCAGAAGGTAGAAGACCTGGATGCTTCTTACCTTGTATACAGATACCTTATGTCACGAAGTTTCCCTATGTCATATGTACACAACAGCCCTTGCGGATTTTGCTTTTCTCCACCTGCCCACAGTGGACAGTCCACCTGACTATATTCTCTTTTTTTTGTAAAAATATTGATTACAAATGCTATCTGCTTTTTTCAATTGATTGTACTTGCAAGTCTTTTGATTCAATAAAAGAAATTGCATGCCCAATGTTGTTGTATGTAACGATTGTAAGGTGTACATGTCTGTCTGGTAGGGTTAATATGACCTTGACGTCATTTTCATGGTTCATTGGTCCGAGTTGAGATTTTGTGGTTTGATCTGTTTCTCAGGTATTATTAGCAAAAGAACCACTATATTTGGTGTATTGAATGATTTTGATGTGTACATGTCTGTCTGGTATGGTTCATTTCACCATGACCTTATGTACATAGAACATTGATAATGTCAAGTTTATGTGATAATTGAAGTAAAACCTTCACATTACAGACTTTCAACATAAATTCAATGATAAGTAAAACAGGTGAGACATTTCAGCATGTGTGCTCTTGTTTTATTAGTTGTTATTGGCTTTGAACTAGCATTCAGTAACTGAGGACTCTCAGATCTGTACTTTGTGTCTGTGTTTTTGTTAGTTGTTTTTGTGCTTTGTTTTGATCGGATGAGTTAAGCCCCTAACAACTGATTCTTACCTGCGTTGCCAAAGGCAGAAGCAGGTCTAGTAACCGTCAACTCCATCTGTTTGTCTGTTCAAAAAGAAAACTGTCGTCAAAGCTTTCTTGGCTTCTATGAAAGGGAATTATTTAATATTTGATCTGTAGCTTGATAGTGTTGAGTTGTAGTGAGTAAGCAATTATTACATCTGCCCTGTAGCCATTCAATTACCGGTAGGTCTACTAAAAATCAAAGAATTTAATGATATTGTCGAGGGTGATTAGGATGATGATATATTGATGAAAAAAGAAATAAGTGAGACTGAATTAGGTATTGTTCCTTGTTTTCAACTTTTTTTTTTTTATTTGCCAATCGGACAAATACACACCATCTTTTACTTGCCCAGGAATGACTTTCACTTGTCTTGGGCAATTGTACAACCTTTAATGTCAAACTCTGTTTATTGCCTTGAATTCACCCATGCTATTGGATTTAACTCACAATATATACACTAATTTTTCAGGTAAACAGACTCTTAAACACTGATTTTGATTCTGATGAGGAGCTTCCACCATTATCCTTGAAACAACATATACAGCCTGAAAACATTGTTATTGTCCTTGATTCTAATGAACCAGGTTGTATGAAAATGTCATCAAATTACAAGGGAAAAGATTGTAGCAAACATGCCAGGAAAATTCCTTACAGTAAAAATGATTTTCTGTCAGATAGTTCTGACATTGAAAATGATGTTGAAATGGTTGAGACTTTGTCGTTGAAAGAACGCTTGCTTGGGAAGCAATCAACATTTACTTCTAATGGATTGGTTGGTAATTTAATGGGAACAAGTATAAAATGTGATCAGTATGATCAGAGACAAGAAAGTTCAGGCTTGACATGTACACTGACAGAAAGTTTTAAAAATATGCGTACAAAAAATGTAATTGAAATTATTGAATGTTGCAATTTAGATGATGAAATGAGCAAGGAATCAAATTCTTGTGATACAAATTTATCTGAAAAAAGTAATCAGGACTATAGTAAAACCTCTAATACTTCAAATACAACTGAATGTGTGAACAAGAACAAAACTGTTGAGCTAAATCTACTGGAGTTAGGGAAATCTGACAAACCAATCAAGCGAAAAAGAACTCTAGAAGAAATTGAGGACAGAAAGAGGCAAGCTCAGGTAGAGTAACTGTGTATACATTATTGAATGCATTTTGATGCGAGCAACTATGTACACATTATCCTGAACACATAATTGATGTTGATGTGTAAAAGCATAAATTATTTTGAATGAACAGCTACAGAAAAAACAATTATTTAAAAAACATGAAAAATATCAAGGACCAAATATTTTAAAGTTGGATATATATCCAGACATCGATATTTTGTAGAACCAACAATACTTTTTAGAACTATCAAACTAAAGTTTTCACTGATAAATATGGAAAACTTAAACTGTTAATGCAGACATTCACAATTCATGTTTCCTTTGACTATAGTGTCTGTTATTTTGTACTTCAAAAATCCACTTAATCATGAATATTTTTTAAGTTCAAAAAGCTAGCTAGACTACCAAATGTACTACTTAGGTAAATAAAAGGAGATTGTGATTGAGTAGTCAAAAATTGAGGCCTAAACAGGTTGTGTTTATGATTTTCTTAACACTTTTTGGAGAATTTCTTCACCAAAATATTTTTGCTGTTGTTGCACATTGTAAGGCCAAAAAAATTATATGCTTGTTTCCTGTCTCCAAGTTGAAAAAATTAAGGAGGTACATGTAGGTAGGAATTTAAAAAAAATTTCTTACTGATACAGGTAAATTTCAGAACAGAGTATACTCAAAACTGTCATCATTTTTATTTGGTAATTCCGATTCAGTGAATGACATTTAGCCGACATCTGCAGATGTGTTTCAATATTGCTAAGACACACGGTCATGCTAATTTAGTTTGAATAATTATAATATTTATTTTCCCTTTTAAATACATGTATATTTCATATAGCTAACATGTATAAACTGAACAAAAAACTTTTTTCTAGTAGCTGAACAAGAAGATCTGTTGAAAAAAACAAGTTTAATCAAATGTTCGAGATGTGCTCTTTTCTTTAATTTCTGACAGATACAGACAACTTTACCACATATGTATGAAAAAATAAAGGGTCGGAGGGTCTGAGGCAGGGTCGGTCAGGATGCAGGAAACAAGCAAAATGTGTCTTAACTACTTATTGTCTTCCATTGTGAAACATGGGAATTACAATCTGGCTGCAGGGGCATTGGTGTAAACTTTTTATATAAAGCTTTCTGTTTCAGAAAGGAGGTCTGTTTTTATCAGCATTGCCAACGTTGAAGCAGGTCTAGTAACTGCTTTACTCTTTCCATCCTTCAGTCCAAAAGATCTTGGATAGAAAACTTTTATCAAATTTTTCTGGGCCCCTATGAAAGGGAAAGATTTTACATTTAGTCTTCAGCTTCATGATATTTAGTTGTAGTGGGTAAGCAATTTTTACATCTGTCATGCAGATCTCTTCCTGTTTTCCGATAGTTTGAAATTTACAACACTCATTGTACAAGGAAAATTTTCATCAAACTTTTCTTGCCTTCTATAGAAGAGAATGTTTTAATATTTGGCTGGCAGCTTCATAATTTTGAGTTCTAGCCGGGGTATGGTATTTTGAACCCCATGGTAAATTGACCCCGGGGTCAAAATACCGCTATGGTAAATTGAACCCCCCCATGGTAAATTGAATCCCCCCTGTATGGAAAATTGACCCCCCATGGTAAATTGAACCCCCCTGTTTTTTTCATTTTAGATGATTATTAGAACATTATACATTATTCTAAAGCTTGCCATAGATTAAAAATCATTCATACAAGAAGGGGAGGTCAATTTTCCATGATTGGTTAAAAGAAATATCTTTGCTTGGTATACAGGTATAAGTGCTCTGAAGTCCATGAAGTCTTTACCAACAAAATTCATTCAAAAACTTCTTGAGGCATTATAACTAGACAATGTAGCTTGAACACTTTAATTATTTGAAATTATAACATATACAAATGTATATATAAGGGTAGTTTTAATTTTCCATGGTGAAAAAGGGGGAGGGGGTCAAAGTACCATGGGTCAGTTAAATTTCAAAAGTAAAATTTTCAAAACATCTTTTCCAGCATGTTAAATACATACAAACTTCTTATAATGGGAGTATTATAACAATTTAAATGAGTTACAATAGCTAGAATTTTGAAATTTGAGGTGTAAATTGGGGGGGGTTCAACATACCATGGCAGGGGGGTCAAAATACCATAACTTAATTAAATTTTTATAAACATCTTTTCAAGCATGTAAAATACATACAAACTACTTATTGGAGTATTATTACTAAGTTAATGAGTTTAGGATAGCTAGAATTTTTGAAATTAGAGGTCTATAGTAGGGGGTTCAATATACCGCAGGGGGGTCAAAATACCATGGCTAAGTGAAATTTTCAAAACATCTTTTCAAGCATTTAAAATACATACAAACTACTTTTTGGAATATTATTACTATGTTAATGAGTAAGAATTGCTAGACTTTTTTTAAATTAGAGGTCTATAGTAGGGGGTTCAATATACCGCAGGGGGGTCAAAATACCATGGCTAAGTAAAATTTTCAACACATCTTTTCCAGCATGTTAGATACATACAAACTACTTATTGGAGAATTATTACTATATTAAGGAGTTAGAATAGTTAACATTTTTTTAATTATAGGTCTATAGTTGGGGGTTCAATATACTGCAGGGGGGGTCAAAATACCACGGCTAAGTAAAATTTTCACAATATCTTTTCCAGCATGTTAAATACATACAAACTACTTATTGGAGTATTATTACTATGTTAATGAGTTAGAATAGCTAGACTTTTTTTTAAATTAGAGGTCTATAGTAGGGGGTTCAGTATACCGCAGGGGGGTCAAAATACCATGGCTAAGTGAAATTTTTAAAACATCTTTTCAAGCATGTAAAATCATACAAACTATACTTATTGGAGTATTATTACTATGTTAATGAGTTAGAATAGCTAGACTTTTTTAAATTAGAGGTCTATAGTAGGGGGTTCAATATACCGCAGGGGGGTCAAAATACCATAACTTAATTAAATTTTTATAAACATCTTTTCAAGCATGTAAAATACATACAAACTACTTATTGGAGTATTATTACTAAGTTAATGAGTTTAGGATAGCTAGAATTTTTGAAATTAGAGGTCTATAGTAGGGGGTTCAATATACCGCAGGGGGGTCAAAATACCATGGCTAAGTGAAATTTTCAAAACATCTTTTCAAGCATTTAAAATACATACAAACTACTTTTTGGAATATTATTACTATGTTAATGAGTAAGAATTGCTAGACTTTTTTTAAATTAGAGGTCTATAGTAGGGGGTTCAATATACCGCAGGGGGGTCAAAATACCATGGCTAAGTAAAATTTTCAACACATCTTTTCCAGCATGTTAGATACGTACAAACTACTTATTGGAGAATTATTACTATATTAAGGAGTTAGAATAGTTAAAATTTTTTTAATTATAGGTCTATAGTTGGGGGTTCAATATACTGCAGGGGGGGTCAAAATACCACGGCTAAGTAAAATTTTCACAATATCTTTTCCAGCATGTTAAATACATACAAACTACTTATTGGAGTATTATTACTATGTTAATGAGTTAGAATAGCTAGACTTTTTTTTAAATTAGAGGTCTATAGTAGGGGGTTCAGTATACCGCAGGGGGGTCAAAATACCATGGCTAAGTGAAATTTTTAAAACATCTTTTCAAGCATGTAAAATCATACAAACTATACTTATTGGAGTATTATTACTTTGTTAATGAGTTAGAATAGCTAGACTTTTTTAAATTAGAGGTCTATAGTAGAGGGTTCAATATACCGCAAGGGGGTCAAAATACCATGGGTAAGTGAAATTTTCAAAACATCTTTTCCAGCATGTTAAATACATAATAATAATAATAATAATAAATTCTTTATTTAAAGAGGGTAAACACAGTTAGTTACAATTACTAATCTTCCCTGAGGCCCTCATATACAATACATGTAAAAAATAATAAAATTTTACTTAGCCATGGTATTTTGACCCCCCTGCGGTATATTGAACCCCCAAACATACATGGGAAATGCATACAAATGACTTCTTTTAGAGAACCACTGAATGGAATGGAACAAAACATAGCATGAATGTTCCTTACAAGGTGCTGACCAAGTGTTGTTACTTTGTAGCTGTTCCATCATCCAAAATGGCCGCCAGTGAAGGACTTAGTTTAACATAGGACCCTACAGGAAATGCATACAAATGACTTCTTTTAGAGAACCACTGAATGGAATGAAACAAAACATAGCATGAATGTTCATTAGGAGGTGCTGACCAAGTGTTGTTACTTTGTAGCCGATCCATCATCCAAGATGGGCGCCAGCGGGGGACTTAGTTTAACATAGGACCCTATGGGAAATGCATACAAATGACTTCTTTTAGAGAACCACTGAATGGAATGTAACAAAACATAGCATGAATGTTCCTTACAAGGTGCTGACTAAGTGTTGTTACTTTGTAGCTGTTCCATCATCCAAAATGGCCGCCAGTGAGGGACTGAGTTTAACATAGGACCCTATGGGAAATGCATACAAATGACTTCTTTTAGAGAACCACTGAATGGAATGAAACAAAACATAGCATGAATGTTCATTAGGAGGTGCTGACCAAGTGTTGTTACTTTGTAGCTGTTCCATTATCCATAATGGCCGCCAGTGAAGGACTTAGTTGAACATAGGACCCTACGGGAAATGCATACAAATGACTTCTTTTAGAGAACCACTGAATGGAATGAAACAAAACATAGCATGAATGTTCATTAGGAGGTGATGACCAAGTGTTGTTACTTTGTAGCTGATCCATCATCCAAGATGGCCGCCAGCGGGGGACTTAGTTTAACATAGGACCCTATGGGAAATGCATACAAATGACTTCTTTTAGAGAACCACTGAATGGAATGTAACAAAACATAGCATGAATGTTCCTTACAAGGTGCTGACCAAGTGTTGTTACTTTGTAGCTGTTCCATCATCCAAAATGGCCGCCAGTGAGGGACTTAGTTTAACATAGGACCTATTGGAAATGCATACAAATGACTTCTTTTAGAGAAGCACTGAATGGAATGAAACAAAACATAGCATGAATGTTCATTAGGAGGTGCTGACCAAGTGTTGTTACTTTGTAGCTGTTCCATCATCCAAAATGGCCGCCAGTGAGGGACTTAGTTTAACATAGGACCTATTGGAAATGCATACAAATGACTTCTTTTAGAGAACTACTGAATGGAATGAAATAAAACATAGCATGAATGTTCCTTACAAGGTGCTGACCAAGTGTTGTAACTTTGCAGTCGGTCCATCATCCAAGATGGCCGCCAGAGGGGGACTTAGTTTAACATAGGACCCTATGGGAAATACATACAAATGTCTTCTTTTAGAGAACCACTGAATGGAATGAAACCAAACATGGCATGAACTTTCCTAATGAAGTGCTGACCAAGTGTTGTTACTTTGCAGTCGGTCCATCATCCAAGATGGCCGACAGCAGGGGACTTAGTTTAACATAGGACACTACGGGAAATACATACAATTGTCTTCTTTTAGAGAACCACTGAATGGAATGGAACCAAACATGGCATGAATGTTCCTTATGAGGTGCTGACCAAGTGTTGTTACTTTGCAGTCGATCCATCATCCAAGATGGCCGCTAGGGGGGGGGGGGGCTTAGTTTAACATAGGACCCTAGGGGAAATACATACAAATGTCTTCTTTTAGAGTACCACTGAATGGAATGAAACCAAACATGGCATGAATGTTCCTTATGAAGTGCTGACCAAGTGTTGCTACTTTGTTGCCGATTTACTGTTCCAGATGGCCACCAGGATATTTTATTAAATAACGGGACCAATATTAATCCAAATTTGGCCTCAATCATTATTTGAGTATCAGTTATGATTTTTATCTATCTTTACATGATTTCTAAAACCAAAGTAGAGTCAGGTGAGCGACACAGGCTCTTGAGAGCCTCTAGTTATGAATAGGATAAATATACCCTTGACTCCACTGAGTTGGATACTCCCCTGATGAGAATAACTCATTAACATAGTAATAATACTCCAATAAGTAGTTTGTATGTATTTTACATGCTTGAAAAGATGTTTTGAAAATTTTACTTAACCATGGTATTTTGACCCCCCTGCCATGGTATATTGAACCCCCCCCCTTTGCACCTCCAATTTCAAAATTCTAGCTATTTTAGCTCCTTTACATAGTAATAATACTCCAATAAGTAGATTGTATTTTACTTAGCCATGGTATTTTGACCCCCCTGTGGTATATTGAACCCCCTACTAAAAACCTCCAATTAAAAAAAAATGATAGCCAACAAATTGTAAATTAGATAATCTGCAATAGTATTTATCTAAAACAGGGGGGGTTCAATTTTCCATGGTGGGGTTCAAAATACCATATGTAAAAAATGACCCCGGGGTCAAAATACCATGCAGTATAATGACCCCGGGGTCAATTTTCCATATGGTATTTTGACCCCGGGTTCATTTTTCAGGGGGTTCAAAATACAATACGACACCGGTAAGCAAATTTAATTTCTACCATGCAGCTTCTTCCTGTTTGCTGATAATTGGAAATTTTACAACACTCATTGTACCAGTATGGAAGGGAATGATTTTATATTTGGTTTGGACACAGTATGGGAGCGACATCGGATCTTGGAACTAGCCGAAGTGGAGAGAGGTTGTAAATCCAAGCTGCTGTACATGCAACACACAAGTTGCCGTACATTAACGAAACTTTGTTTTTGTGATTCACATAACTTTTAAAGACAAATTATGAAAATTATGGTCTTGTGTATTAACAGTGGGTCATATTTGAAAAAAAGGAAAAAATATCCAATTTTTAGAAGCTTCTTTTCTTGATCTTTTTTCCGGTACTAGATGCAGTTTTATCTCCAGATTTAATTTACACTGATGTCTAACATTCCTAAATGATTTGGAGAAGAGGTCAATTCCCAACATACCATTATACAAACCTTTAGACACTTTCAATAATAACAAATGCATAAAAAATTGGAATTCTTACTTGTGATTACAAAATCTTACAACCTCTCTCTGCTTCAGCTAGTAGCAATATCTGGTGTCGCTCCATGATACAGTGTTGCAGATTGAAAATCATCATGAGTTGTGGTTAGCAAATTTAACATCCGCATTGCAGCTATTTCCTGTTTGCCAATAGTTTGAAATTTACAACACTCATTAATGTACAAGGAAATTTTTGTCAAAGTTTTCTTGGCTTCAATGAATGTGATCATGAATAATCAGTTACCCTTCAGTAAAATTGTTACTCAATCAGTTGCATGCAGCATTACAGGTTCACATCCAGTATTGGTCTTGTTGAGATACTATGCGTGCTATTGATCAACTATATTTGGTGTATGGAATGATTGTAACACAGTAAGTCTGTCTGGCAGGTATCATCTGCCCTTAACCTCATTTTCATGGCTCATTGGTCAATGATAAGTTTCCATAGTAAGTTCATCTTCTCACATACTATAAGCAGTATTATATGTCAACTAAATGTGGTGTATAGAATGATATTTAGTTGTACATACATATGTCAGTCTGGCACAGTTTGTTTTGACCCTGACCTAATTTTCATGGTTCATTGGTCAGTTGAATAATCCTGGTTCAGTCTGTTTATTATATACTATAAGCATTAGGTTAACTATATTAGGTGCATGGAATAACTGTAAGGTGTCATCTGACCTTGACCTCATTATCATGGTTCATTGGTCAATGTTAAGTTTTCATGGTTTGGTCTGTTTCTTGGATACTATAGTAAATAGAACACGATATATTGAATGTATTGTAAGGTGTACATGTCTGTTTGGCAGGTTATATCTGACCTTGACCTCATTTGCCATCAATTATTGATAATATTTAAGTTTATGTGATACTTGTAGTATAAACCTTTGTTTTAAAAACTTGCAACATAAAATGGATCGTGGTTAGTAAAGTAGGCGAGACATTTCACCTTTTGATCCGATAGTTCTTTGGCTAGAAATCCTTAAGCATTTGATTTTTTGGCCAAAGCCAGTAATATATATGTAGGACTCTGATGTGTGATGGGGACGTTGAAGTGCGATGGTCTGCGCCTAAGTGTGATGGTCCTTTCGCTGATGTGCGATGGTCTATAAGATGCATAATGGCTAGTTTAAAATTTATAGATGTTCAACTATTATGAGAGCTTGAAATTTTTATTAAATAAATTTCCAAACGATCAATATTTTCTCCAGTTGCAGTAAAAAACATATGTGATCTATTTTATTCCTTGTCCTGATTCACAGCAGCTGTATAGATTTTTCACTTGTTTTGCCTTGACTAAACCAAAAAGTATTTGCATTTCAAATAACTACCACATTTTTTTCAGTCATTGAACATGTTGAAGTTGGTAATGGTTTTAAAGGAAAATAACTTTTGTATGTAGCATCAATTTCTGAATGATTGTATGACCAAGTGCTTTTTTTTGTCGAAGCTTTTTACAAAGTATAATGTACACTACACCGTCACATTGAGGACTGAAAATCCAGCGACTATTTATCATGACTGTTTTGATCTGAACAGGTTATACTCTCGATATTTTACATAAAAAAAACCGAAAAGCTACTAAAAAAAAAAGTTGACTTCTACTTTGACATGTTTGAGATGTGAACATGAAAAACATTGAAAATATGATCCATTGCACTTCAGCGTAACCCCCATCGCACTTCGGCTTAGCTATCTACAATTTAGCGTCGCAATGCCACCATCGAACTACGTCGTGATCAAACACACACTTCAGCATTAAACCATCGCACATCAGCGTGACCATCACAGTTCAGAGTCCTACATATATATATTTAAACAATCAACAAATTTAAACTTCTAGAGATCACCGTATAGTCTAAAATGATGGACAAGATGTAAACACATTTTGGCATGTGCTCTAACCTCTCCCAGAGTTTTTAAATTATGAAAGCCTTTAACAACAACCAATTCAAATATCTACCACTGAAATCTGACATTATAAGCAAAAGCATTTATTTATAGCATAGTTTGTAAAATGTTTCTTTTATATATGTTTATACTTTGTACAGTATTAATATACAGTAAACATTGATAAACAGATAGAAAGTTTTAAGCTCTTAGTTAATCTATGGATGTTAATTCTTTTCAGTTGAAAAAAGAATTTGCTGAACAGAAGAAATTAGAACGGGAGAAAGTCCAGCTTGAAAAGAAAAAGAATGTTCAAATTAGAAAAATACAAGGAGAAAGAAAGAAACAAATGGGGGCTTGGAATCAATCATTAGAGGTATGGGAGCCACTTGAAAATAATATGTACAAATGAAGTATGAAAATAATTATTTAGAAATGTAATCTTCTTATCATCTTTGGGGCCTTGTTGGCAGAGTGGTCTAAGTAGTTCATCTACAGTATCACTAGTCTGCCAACACTGAGGTTTTGACTAGGATTGCCAGTTTTCTTGGTGAAAGTGGGTGGTTCTCTCTGGGTACTCCCCTAGTTCCTCTACCAATAAAAACTGGGAGCCACGATATAGCAAACAGTGCTGAATGCGGCAAAACACAAACTTTTCATCTTTTAAATACTTTCCACAAATCAGGGCTCACCCTACATCAGAATCAAGTCCACCAATGGGTCTTCAACATCTGTGAGAAAATCCCTTACCCGCAGGCGGGCTTCAGCTGGCCCCTAAACAAAAATGTGTACTAGTTCAGTGAAAATGGATGTCACACTAAACTACGAAACATATAAATGAACAAAAATGAAAAAAACATACAAGACTAACAAAGGCCAGAGGCTCCTGACTTGGGACAGGCGCAAAAATGCGGCAAAGTTAAACATGTTTTGTGAGATCTCAACCCTCCCCCTATACCTCTAGCCAATGTAGAATAAACAAACACACAGCGATATGCACAGTAAAAATTAGTTTAAAAGAAGTCAGAATAGGTAACAGAAGAAACTAAGCAAAATGACAATGATACATAAATTAACAAAGGACTACTAGCAGTTACTGACATGCCAGCTCCAGACCTCAATTAAACTGATTGAAAGATTATGTCTTCATCATATGAAAATCAAGCACAATCACTCCTCGTTAGGGGTTTTAATAGTATCATACCATCATAAAATATATGAGAAGAACATAACCCGTATCATGCCAACAACTGGTTTTAAAATAAATGTGTATATTTCCGATGCAAAGACCCATATTAATACCAAAATATGCCATCTTTAATGACCTGACAAAAGTGCGCTTTGTATAGAATATTACCATAAAAGATTAGATGTGAAATACCTGAACGTATAAGATGTCTATGGAAAGCCAACGGGGTCAAAATTCTAAATTCGTAAATTGTCAATTTGTAACTTGTAACTGTGTAATTTCAAAATGCTTAATTCATAAATTGTCAATTTGTAACTTGAAACTGTGTAATTTGTACATTTGTGATATGTATATTTGTAATTCTTGAATTCGTGATTTGTCAATTCAACATTTGTATTTTGATCATTAGGTGCTACATTTGTAATATATTTATTTGTAATTTGTAAATTGCTTAATTGTACATATGTATTTTGTAAATTTGTAGATGTCAATTAGAATCTTTGTTTTTATGTTATTTGTAAAAGCGTATTATACTTGACGTTAAATCAACACTTTTGTAACGCGATAATTGCAAAATGGGTGATTTGTTCATTCGACATTTGTACATTCATTTTATGCTGCATTTCATATAATGATAACAGATGGCACCGCTGTCGGACTTTCTGTATCTTTCGGGACGTTACCAGTTTCGAAGTATATATAACTTGGATGATGAAAGGTGAATTATTTTACAAGTGTACCCAATAATATTAAAGTATACAAACCTTTACACTCTGTGTCAGGGTTATTATTGATATGTCTGACCAAAACGAAGAAGAACCCTAACACTGTTCTTTATAAGGGAAAATAGTGACCAGATAGGAAAAAGGGGGAAGGGGGACACCTCAATTTGGGGGATGGGGTTTGGGTTACTTGCCATCCTTTTAGGTATAACTGTGCCGAATACACTTGTCAAATCATACCCTGTTCTTTACAGAAAATATTGGAAAACATACCCTGTTCTAGACACAATCAGAAAATGTAAACCCTGTTCTAGAATGCTCGGAAAATGTAAAGAGGGGCGGGAGGACCTTTTTCGGGAAGTCGGAATTTGACCTTTATTTTCACGGGAATTCAGAATTTACCCCTATCAGGATTCAGGAATCAATGATTTAATTTTTTTCGGGACCCGGGAAGTTATGTTTTATTTTTTCAGGAATTCCAGATGCAGTGTATAATTTTCCGGGAATCCAGGATACCTCAATATCTCTTTCAAGATTGAATGTTCGAATACTTTGTATACAGTTTTTTATGCGAGATACTTTTCGTGAAAGAAGAGATTTCATCTCTTTGACGAGCAAGTTATCTTCCATAGCTATTGTACTGTAATAAAAGTTGAAACACTATTTATAAATTATATATATACATGTACCATATTTCATATAACCTAGGTAGTTGAGTGAACTGGGGTGCTGGATGCAGGGTAGGCAGTCGCAGAGTTTCAAAAATATCAATAATATTTAGACAAATTACATGTAGCCATACCATTATTATAAAAGAATGATTTTTTAAGGTTTTTCATGAAATTAACCTCATTAAAATAAACAAAATACAGTTTAAATGTAAAGGATATCAACCCATTTGAAACGAAGCTACATGTATGTCAACCTAATCATCGTTGCCATTTTAATAAATTAACATTAAATATGATGCCATTTCAATTTGTATGAAATATGCAAATATACACATGATCACAGCCTTAAGTGGACGGTCCCCCCTGGAGATGGGGAGGGTGGGTTACTTCCTATAATTTTAGTGGTATGAGTGTGCTGCAAAACAGGGTCGCTTTTTCATGTCCTGCTGGTTAATAGAACAGTTTTTTTTTTGTTTTGTTTTTTTAATGTGTCAAAAACACAGTTGAGTTTGGATACAGGAAATAGATACAAGTATTGTTTAGCTAACATAATTGGTCCAAGTACACAGTTATAGTCCTTTGATTTTCGTTGTCCACAAATATAGTCCCTAGTGTGAACAGTGTGATACTTGCCAATTTTTTAGCTCACCTGGCCCAAAGGGCCAAGTGAGCTTTTCTCATCACTTGGCATCCGTTGTTTTCAATAACTTTTTACATTTTGAACTTCTTCTAGAGAACCACTGAATGGAATGAAACCAAACATGGCATGAATGTTCCTTATGAGGTGCTGACCAAGTGTTGTTACTTTGAAGCCGATCCATCATCCAAGATGGCCACCAGCGGGGGACTTAGTTTAACATAGGACCCTATGGGAAATACATACAAATGTCTTCTTTTAGGGGACCACTGAATGGAATGAAACCAAACATAGCATGAATGTTCCTTACGAGGTGCTGACCAAGTGTTGTTACTTTGAAGCCGATCCATCATCCAAGATGGCCGTCAGCGGGGGACTTAATGTAACATAGGACCCTATGGAAAATACATACAAATGTCTTCTTTTAGAGAACCACTGAATGGAATGAAACCAAACATAGCATGAATGTTTCTTATGAGGTGCTGACCAAGTGTTGTTACTTTGAAGCCGATCCATAATCCAAGATGGCCGCCTACGGGGGACTTAGTTTAACATAGGACCCTATGGGAAATAGTTACAAATGTCTTCTTTTAGAGAACCACTGAATGGAATGAAACCAAACATGCCATGAATGTTCCTTATAAGGTGCTGACCAAGTGTTGTTACTTTGAAGCCGACCCATAATCCAAGATGGCCGCCAGCGGGGGACTTAGTTTAACATAGGACCCTATGGGAAATACATGCGAATGTCTTCTTTTAGAGAACCACTGAATGGAATGAAACCAAACATGGCATGAATATTCCTATTGAGGTGCTGACCAGTGTTGTTACTTTGAAGCCGATCCATAATCCAAGATGGCCGCCAGCGGGGGACTTAGTTTAACATAGGACCCTATGGGAAATACATGCGAATGTCTTCTTTTAGAGAACCACTGAATGGAATGAAACCAAACATGGCATGAATGTTCCTTATGAAGTGCTGACCAAGTGTTGTTACTTTGAAGCCAATCCATCATCCAAGATGGCCACCAGCTGGGGACAGTGTTTGACAAAGGACCCTATGGACAATACATGTAAATGTCTTCTTTTAGAGAACCACTGAATGGATTGAAACCAAACATGGCATGAATGTTCCTTATGAGGTGCTGACTAAGTGTTGTTACTTTGAAGCTGATCCTTTATCCATGATGGCCACCAGCGGGGGGACTTCCTTTAACATAAGACCCTATTGGAAATACATACAAATGCTTCTTCTAGAGGTGCACTGAATGGAATGAAACCAAACATGGCATAAATGTTTCTTATGAGGTGCTGATGAAGTGTTGCTACTTTGTTGCTGATTTACTGTTCAAGATGGCCACCAGGATTTTTTATTAAATTACTGGGCCAATATTAAACCAAATTTGGCCTCACTCATTATTAGGGTATCTGTTATGATTTTAATCTATTTTAACATGATTTCCAAAACCAAAGTAGAATCAGGTGAGCAACACAGGCTCTTGAGAGCCTATAGTTTTATACGCCTTCCAAATTTATTTCTCCATGTTTTATGCCTCAAATAGCAAGTAGGGGGATGAAATTACACTGTTAAAAAATTTGGGTCATGAATTTTAAAGTAAAGTAGTGATTTGGTCCAGCTGAAAATGTTAAAAATAAGCACTTCGGAAGCTGTCAAAAGATTTCAAGACCCCCTTAATATAAAATTGTCCATATTTAGAGTTAGAGCCGATGAACTTTTCTATAATTTTGATATAATTTGTCCCAAAAGTAGTACAACACACTGTAAAAATATTATTGAGAAAACGCAGGTGGGATTTTTTTAATTTTCATTTAAAAGAAATGCACTACGAAATAACTGTGTACTCGGACCTAAGAGGTGAAATCAGGAAATATAGAATCTGTACTTTGGCAACTTCCCTGAATGATTTGATGGTGTTAATTTGTCAAATAGCATGAAACTAAAGGATTTAAACTTTTATTTGATAGAATTTCTGCAAAAATGACCAATTTTGCCATTATATGGTCAAAATAAGCATTTCATAGCTTTTTCAATTTTGATGCATAAGTGGCATTCTGACTTTCTATCTGACAGGTTTTCATGTGTCAATATTTGTGTTTCTATGCTTTAATCCAGTTGTATTACTCATTTGTGAACTCTGAATCTACAGAAAAGAAGATTATCTCAGACAAGATGTGCAAAATGTGTTGTATAAATGACCCTCGTCTAACGCCCTGTTTGGATCAAGTTAAATGTGAGGAGCTTGGTACATAAAAGTTGAAGTCCATAATAAAGACCTCACTAAATTTGTATAAAAAGCACTTAACAATGTCTTTTGTACCTGTTTCATTTCACATAATATCTTTTTTTTCTTCTGTAGGATAGCAAGTGGTTCAAATATATGCCTGTTGAGACTAAAATTGCCTGCAAGTTTTTCACTAAAAAGTGAAAAATCTTTGTATCAGACCATACTGTCTGCAAAAAAAGTTGAATGCAAGAGTCTTTTTGTGCTCAGATTTATTGTATCATGTCACCTGAATATATAGAAATGATAGAAAAGACACACATTTTTATTTCCTATAGCTTCAATATGCATTTTTATATGTAAATATGTGCTACGGCCTAAATTGGCCTTAAATTATTTTCAGTCTTACTTGGCCTAAGACCCTTTTAAACTAATATGATATGTTATTTGTAAGTTTTCTTTCCATTTAAAGTACATTAAATACATATGTAAGGATTATTTATAACCAAAAAGCTTTACAAATTCAAAATTGCTGGAGAATATTACATATTCATGTAAGGCCCCCCTTCATTGGAAAACCTCCATTTTTAGGCACAGGCTCATATAAATTTGACTTTTGAATAATTATGCTAAGTCTGATATATCAAATGAGTACTCTATTGCTTTTAATACATGATATATTATATATTAGGGCATTTTAAAATTATTTTTTTGCAATATTTTAATTTTAAAAGCCCCAAATGTTGATGGTTGAAATTTTTCAATTTTAATTGTCCATATTTAGAGTTAGAGCCAATAAAGTTTTCTATAATTTTGATATAATTTGTCCCAAAAGTAGTACAACACACTGTAAAAATATTATTGAGAAAGCGCAGGTGGAATTTTTTTAATTTTCATTTATTGTCTAAAAGAAATGCACTACGAAATAACTGTGTACTCGGACCAATTGTAATTGTTTTAACAGGGTAAAAAGTAAGTAAAAGACATATATTTTCTTAGCTAGTCTAGAACAGGGTTTACAGAGGGGTGTCATCCTGGATTCCTGGAAAATTATACACTACATCCAGAATTCCCGAGAAAATAAAACATAACTTTCCGTGGCCTGAAAATAAAATCATTGATTCCTGAATCCTGATAGGGGTAAATCCTGAATTCCCATGACACAGAGCGTAAACGGTTTGTATACTTCAATCGTATTTGGTACACTTGTAAAATAATTCACCTTTCTTCATCCACGTTATCTATACTTCGAAACTGGTAACCTCCCGAAAGTTCGACAGCGGTGCCTTCTGTTATCATAATACGAAATGTATTATAAATGTAGCATAAAATGAATGTACAAATGTTGAATGAACAAATCACCCACTTTGCAATCATCGCATTAGAAAAGTGTCGATTTACAACGTCAAGTATAATACGCTTTTACAAATAACATAAATGCAAAGATGCTAATTGACATCTACAAATTTACAAAATACAAATGTACAATTTAGCAATTTACAATTACAAATAAACATATCACAAATGTAGCACCTAATGATACAAATGTTGAATTGACAAATCACGAATTCAAGAATTACAAATATACATATCACAAATGTACAAATTACACAGTTACAAGTTACAAATTGACAATTTACGAATTAAGCATTTTCAAATTACACAGTTACAAGTTACAGATTGACAATTTACGAATTTAGAATTTTGACCCCGTTGGCTTTCCCTAGATGTCTGCATGTTGATTTATATTTACAAATGATGTCCTTGTACCTATGATAAAATTTAGTAAATGTTTTGACTAGTTTGCATTGTGATATCGAAAACTCTGGTGTAATAATTGTAGTAAATGTAAATCTTGTACTTTAGGCTTTGAAATTAGCATAGAAAGATAATAGATATAGAAATAAGGAGATGTGGTTTGATTGCCAACAAGACATCTTTCCACCAAGGACCAAAGGAAAGGGATGAAAACAAGTACAGGTTACTTTATAGCCTTAAACAAACAGCAAATCCCATACTGCATATGATAAGCAATTAAAGGCTCTGGGAAAACAAAATGGGAAATGATTCTATAGAGAAAAAACCTGCTTACCACATATCCTTATTTTTATATTGTTTGTCCTACTTTGTCTCTTAGGCCAACTAAAATTAATTAGTAGATGTAGAAAAAGTGGGGTGGATTTAATTTTTTGAACTTCTACTTCCTCTGAAACCCTTTTGTAATGTGTTCTTCATATATGTTAGAGTATATATAATAAAGATAGCTTATATAATAAGAATTCTGCATACTTTTTCAACTTTTTCCAAATCCTGAAATAATATTTCTGATTAGCAACCACTATTATGATTACCTTAGAAACCAATTTTCAGTCAGTAGCAAAAATGTGGAAGAATGCTCTCTTCATCAATTTTCTTTAACTTGCTGAGCTGTTTGTAATGCCCATAAAATGAAGCAGTGTTTCAGAACACCATGGGCACTGCCATCTAATTTGCAGTGATAACCATCCACATCAGATTGATAAACCCCCATGAATGATATCCAAAGAGCAAGAATAACGACACACATTGGTACGGAAAACAAGTATATTGAGTACAGAGGGAACATAGACCAAATCTTTGTTGAAAAAATACTAGGGTTGATGCTTTGTAGATTCTTATGTAAAATGCATCAACTTCCTTAAACGTGAACTGAACCAAGAGAAGAAGTTGTTTGATGACTAATGAGTGCCTTGGTTAGAGGGTGTTGGGTTTTTTTGGCCGATGTTTTGTACTCAAATTTCATTTGATCAAAAACAGTGTACCGGTAATACATTGCACAAGTTTGTAATTGGGTCAACTTGATTTCTTAACTCCAGTCAATTTTTCATACCAATATGTACCATGATATTTGTGCTTTGATATCATTCATGTGGGCTTATGGTAAAAAAAATTCCTGACACAAAGTTATTGTATAAATAAAGAACCCATGGTTTTTGTCTTGCCTGTCACAGTATGCGAGACATAGGTATGTGTTTTGGTCTGTTTTTCAATTACCATAGGCAATTGGTCAACTATATTTTGTGTATGGAATAATTGTAAGGTGTACATGTCTGTGTGACAGTTATTATCTGACCTTGACCTCATTGTCATGGATCTTTAAAAATGTTAAGTTTATTGTGATACTTGTAGTGAAACCTTTATCTTTAAGACTTTCAACATAAAATCAATGGTCAGTAAAACAGGTGAGACATTTCAGCGTGTGCACTCTTGTTTTAATTACTGAAATTTGTGACGTACCCTGATTTGTGTTCTTTGACCATGTTGACACCACTAATTAGTTACTCGTAATCCAAATATTTCAGGCCCTGTCTGTAATCAATCTCTCCTACTCGCTATGTAGCTTGCCATTGTAGATCAACTTAATTATTCTGTTTAAACTACTTGAAGAAATATGAAAACCATGTCAATGTTTTGCAATAGGAAAGTTTGTATGAAACCAAATTATCAGAGCTGTTACCAGTAAGAGTAATGAACAAAATCTGTAAATTTTTTAAAATAAAAAAAATTGAGGCAGGCAGAATGAAAGTCCTCCAATCAATTTAAATTGGCCTAATCAACTAAAATTGAAAAGATAAGATATACAATCTATGTGGTTTAAATTCATGACTCAAAATCACTACACATTAATTAAAAAACCTGAAGCCAAAGTATAGCGCTTTTATTACAGTTTTTCATATCAAAGTTGATTCCTACAACATGGAGCAAAAACTTTCACCAAACTGCAAGTTTGTCTATCTCTAATATTGGGATGAATGGAATCATTAGCTAGATAGATATAAGAAGATGTGGTATGAGTGCCAAAGAGACAACTCTCCATCCAAGTCAAAATTTATAAAAGTAAACCATTATAGGTCACAGTACGGTCTTCAACACAGAGCCTTGGCTCACACCCAGCAGTAAGCTATAAAGGGCCCCAAAAAATGTCTATCACACTATTTTTTTCAGTTTATGAAAATTGTTTTAGATCCACACATTATAAATGATTGTGGATTAGGAGCAGCCATCTTTAAAGCGGGAGAAGAATTAAAGGTACCTTGTGTTACAGAGGAACAGGGCTTTCCATTTACTATATCATGGAAGAGAATGGTGACAGAATGGATAGAAAATGGTACACAGGTATAAAACAACATAACATTATGAATAACAAGCCTGAAGAATGTAAAACAAATCTACAAGAGATGACCAATGTCTATTCTGTCCTGTCAGTCTCTCTTGATCTCTCGAATTTACTTTTTATACGCCCGTCAAATTTTTGACGGGACGTATTATGTTATACAAATGTACGGCGTCCGTCCGTCTGTCTGTCCGTCTGTCTGTCCGGCGTAAACATGTCGCACCGTAACTTGAGAATGACTTATCCAAATTTCATGAAACTTAACATAGTTGTTTCTTATGATGGTCAAACGATCTGTATACTTTTTGGTGAAAATAAGATTAAAACTTTTTGAGTTACGGGACTTAGTAACTAAAACAGGTGTGTGTTTTTTTTCACATGTCGCGCCGTATCTCAAAAACAGTTTATGATTATTGCTTAAAACTTTACACACTTCTTAGTTATATTAATTTTAAGATCTGTATACTTTTTGGTGATGATTCAAAATTTTATTTTTGAGTTATTGAGTATTTTGTAAAAAAAGGGGGAGGGGTTTTTCACATGTCGCGCCATATCTCAAAAATGATTTATGATTATTGCTTAAAATTTTACACACTTCTTAGTTATATTAACCTAAAGATCTGTATACTTTTTAGTTTTGATTCAAAATTTTTTTTTTGAGATATTGATTTTTTTTTTTTTAAAGGGTGTTTTCACATGTCGCGCCGTATCTCAAAAACGATTTATGATTATTGCTTAAAATTTTACACACTTCTTAGTTATATTAATCTAAAGATCTGTATACCTTTTGGTTTTGATTCAAAATTTAATTTTAGAGATATTGAGTTTTTTGTAAAAAAAAAAAGGGGGTTTTCGCATGTCACGCCGTATGTCAGAAACTATTTATGCTTATTGCATAAAAATTCACACACAAGACGACGGGCGTATCATGCGCTCATGGCGCAGCTGTTTATTGTGAAATTTATACAAACTTCAATCATGTTTGTCAATGGTAAATATAAATAAATGTTAAAACCTGTACTGTACTTTAAAACTTTATTAAAGTTCAAAATGATGTTCTGAATTGTTTCATGTTTTTTAGTATAAGCTGTCTTCAATTGTTTTCAAACTTTTCTTTCAATTTTGACATGTGAATACATTAATTTTTTTTTAAGAAATAATTTCAGCTTTGCTATGAGCCATTGTTTAAAATAATTAGAGGTTAGCAACTTCCCACACTTGCATGATTTGTAAGCATTTTTTGTTATCTAGGTGGAAACTCTGAAGAGAGAAGTAACAGAAGATGAAGCCTTAATCATTTTACCTGTTTCTGACTTTGTCCATATGGTTGAAAATTCAAAACAGGTACTTATTCATCTAGCAGCAATAAATACTACCTTGACGTGCTGTTCATGCTAGTTCTTCAAGCATACTCTGTTTATTTAAATATCCCTCGCCATGCTCTTCTGAATTTAAAGTATTTCTTTACTAAATTCCTTTCGTAAAAATAAGACAAAACTCTAATGTAAATTTGGTTGATCGCAGTAACTTGTTCTTCTCTCTTGCAAACAATGTTTAACAACATAATTAGGTAATACAATTTAATAACAATATTCAAATTGACATTTGCATACAACAAAATTGTCCAACACATCATTTTATTTTAATGAACTTCAACTCTATATGATCAATATTCATGAATATGACAATAAACGGTAAACTGTACTGTATGTAGTTCAGACATGGGGTCAATTACTTTTGAAAGTAATTAATTATATTCAATTACAATTACAAAATCTTCAATTAAATTACACATTACATTTGAATTTTTTTGACAATGTAATTAATTACTTTCCAATTACTTGGCAAATGTAATTTATTACTTCAATTACTTTTGAAAGGAAAATTTAGAACATGCATTTATTCTATCATATGTACATAATTATCATACATTGCTTTATAGTAATAACAAATGAGATCTACAGTGACTATTTTCAAATTCAGCCAGTATCAAAGAAGAGTAAAAGTTAAATATCTGTTGTGTTACGGGAATAAAGAAAAACCAAACATAAATCTGAAGTGCTCATAATACTTTGTCTATCAGGAATCGTTAGGACTAGATGTCTGGTTTAATTTAATGTGCAAAATGATAAAAAGCCTTATTCAATATTTGGAAAATATTAAATTTTGTTTAATTACCTATTGAAATTTTATGTTTTAATGTATTTCATTGAAAATGATACAAGAAGAGAGCCCTATAGTTAAAATTTTATTTTTTTATTTTGATCACAACTTATTAAAATTATTTTTCCTAAAGAAATGATTTAGAAAGTCTGACTTTTTAAAAAATATAATGTAGTTTTAATCACAATTAATTGATTTAAAAAAAAATCATGTACCTAGGAGTATATTTATCTCTCTCTAATTGGCTTAACACCTGTTTAACATGCAAACATAACTGTTGTAAAAACAGTCATTATATAGTTTATGATAAAACAAATAGCCAGAGGTTATATTTATTGATTGACTTATGACCTTTCAAATTGATTATGTTGAATCAATGTCTAACAATATCCATCTGAATATACATGTAGGTAACAAACTAATTAAGGTATAAGACGGTGACTTACTAATGGTTTCTTTTAAACACAAATTATGGCATGTTTCTGCAGTATTTTTTTTTTCTTTTTAATTTTTTGTTCATTCATTACAAAATAAAGAATCTTCCATGGTTGTGTAATTACAGAAGGTATACTGTGTAGGCTTTGATTTGTCAGCTAACTACATTTGCTAAGGTCGTGGCTTTTCATAATTTTTTGAGAAAACACAAGATTCAATCTTTCTGATCCCAAATTACAAATGTAATTGAGTTGTAATTGAAAAGTAATTGTCAATTACAGACAATTTTGGCTTTGTAATTCATTACTTTCAATTACTTGTAATTGAAAAAATGCTCAATTACACATTACATTCAATTACTTGAGAAATTGTAATTAATTACAGCCAATTACAATTACATATTTCAATTACCCCCATGTCTGTTGTAGTTACTGTGAGCACATTTGATGAACTGACAGCTCAACAATTCCTTTATTAAATATAACAGAACCTCACCCTTTAAAACGCCAAAGGATTTCACGTGCATATATAACCAATATATCTAAATCCAAACATGTTTTACAACTTCTCTAACCAGTTTTGAATATATTTAACTATATTTAACACAGGGGAAATCCATAAAGTCAAACGAAAAGAAATATAATTAAATTCTCCCTTGCTATACTCTTACGAATTTATTATAGGATTAAACGCCTTTTTAAAGGAATTTATTGGTGTATAAACTCGACCAATTCACTAACAAACGAATAAAAGTCGAGGACTTTTATGATATGTTTGTGAGTGACTTGGTCCAGTTTATACACCAATAAAGGAGTAAGTCCAGTAAGACCCCTTTTTGGCCCCAAAATAAAGCAGTTTTACAAAACTGTTAAATGTAAACTTTGAGTTATTTATTAAAAAGTAGAATGCGTCTGCTACATAAATATGGGCTGTTTTTGACAATACAATGCACATATATCGGGAACTAGCATCATTAAGTCATGCTAAGTTACTGAAATCTTCACAATTTTAGCATTTTAGTTAAATTTTAGACGGTTTCCGTCTTAAATGAAAGTGGCCGCATTTGTGTTCATTCTTTATATTGAAATGTAAGTTGTATTTCATGATAACACATAACATATATAAAGGTTGAGGATGAACACGGATGCGGCCATTTTCATTTTTGGCAAAAACCATCTGAAAAGTGACATTTGTTGGCATATTTGATAGATTTTTCATATTTAAGCTTGAATCGGAGCGTTTTTAATGAGTAAATCAGTTAAAATCTTTCACATAAACTAATAGAATCAACCAAAATAGACACTTAAGTGTTTAAAAAGTGTCCAAAATCTTGCGTCATATGAACCTGAAATTTGAGGCCAAAATCGGCCCTTACCGGACCTACTCCTTCCTTTAAAAAGGTGTTTAATCCTTATAATTCTTTAAATTGGAATTTATTTTTCCACACTCATAACCTCTTTCACACGTAAATTGTATAATTATGTCATTGAATCAATCTGGCGCATGAGTATATTTATTTGTTAAATCAAAAGTATGTACTCCATGAAATTTGATATCTGATAAAAAATAAACTACAAAAAATCATAATATCATTCAAATGAATGTTTTGTGTTTATTATTTAATTTAACAATTAACGCGAGGTGAAAATAAATAAAATTTAAACGTCGAGCCGGATTGTCAGTTATTATGGTCGCCATCTTGTTTACATTGGTTACAAAAAGAAGTTCGGTCAACGTCGTCTATCGAAAAATAAACAACGTCAAGAACAACTAACAGATGTCCTCTCGGCCAATCATATCAACGTATTCCCTAATATGCAAATCATATAAGAATTATTCAAATATATTTCTTTACTAAATTCCTTCGTATAAATAAGACAAAACTCGAATGTAGATTTGGTTGCTCACAGTAACTTCGACAAAACAAAGGAAAGGAGTAGATACAATTTGAATCAAATGCCAAGATGGCTTAGTTAAATTTTTTAATATCCTAATATGTCCGGAAATAGTCTTTTTTCAAATAAAAATTAAGATTCTAAATTGGACACACTATTTCTTAAAATAAGTCCACCAATAAAAAACTGAAACCATTTGAAACACACCACATTCGAAATTTCTCAAATAAATGCGGTATTTCATAATAGTAGTACTGGCCTTGATGGTTCTACAATACACAATCAACTACAGTCAGGATTCTACTTCGTTAAAATTATCTCCCCATTACGCCACCAAATTTTTATAATCGTAAAAATGGAAGCCGTTGTAGTGATGACACGCTGTCAATTTAGCTCTTGAAAACCGATAAATTTATCCACATAGCATCATTACGATCCTTATATGCCAGTTGTGTTTTAAATGACCAATGTATCTACTAGCTATTTAGCATCATTTAATGTACTTTTATGCATTTGGTCAACTTAAAACTATTATCTGATTGGTTGTCAGGGGGAATTTTCGAAAGTTCAAAAATATTTAAAAAAATGCTAATTAAATATTTCGTGGAAGGGCAGACTAAAAATTTTCAAAGGTTGAAGACTAATTATCCTAGATAACACACACAAAAAATGAAGTTTTTTTGAAGATATGCATTTTTAAGATCCACTTGAAAAGTCTGTCGTCAAGTACTTTTAGTAAAAATTTGTAATTCGAACACATCTATTCTGCTGTTATGACTCATAAGAAAGGTATTTCACTTGACCCATATATTTTATTTTTTAGTACTGTAAAGTTTTAATGTTATTATATCAACCTAGAGCCTATATATATAAAAATAATAGAATCTGAAGCGAGATGATGTATGAAATATGTTTTTTTATACATTTTCAAGACGTAATAGTCAACTCAAACATGCCTAAACATAAAAAGGTGTACTCGACTTTCTCTTTTTGAGGAAATTATTGCCCATTTTGGGGATTTTTTCACAAAAAACGCGCCGGAGGCAGAGATGCAATAATGCTTTAAAAGGATCAATCTATTATCTTTCTTTGGAATTTTTTTCAGCGGAATTTATGCTTATGCACAAAAAAGATTCACATGTATTTGCACCTACTACAATCGACTGTTTTGTGAAAATTTTTCTATAATTTTAAAGTTTACAAATATTACGAAGCTCCATACCATAATTTAAGTAAAAACACATACATAATATGCATAAAATCCTGAATAAGGCACATCATTAAACTTTTAAAGCCCATAGAAACAGATGTAAACAATTCAAATTTACCAACTTGGCCTTTTTTACCTTCTCTAACAAAGAGTTCCATTTCTTTTGTTTAATTTCAACTGGGTTTCCGCCTGACTATCAACCACATGAACTGGCAAATCTTGGATTTCTGTTGAGACTATAAAAAGAAAAATAAAAGAAGTGAAAATCACAAACATTCATGTTTTCCCGTTCTATAAAGTAAATGTAGACTGACATCAAGAGATCCATAAAGGAACAATACTTTATAACAAAATTCAAGCCAAATTTAAATGCGCAAGGTTTTCAATAGCGTTACAATTGGCTCTCCATATTTTACGTTTTTTCCTCGTTATCTCCCTTTTATAATTGTATAATGACATTACGTACTTAACTACAGTCTCTTAGTTACAATTTTTCGCCTTTCACCTGAAGATTGTTGTAAAAACATGAAAGTACTTGTGAATATTTAAAAATAATATATGCATGATCCAGCAATATTGGAACTTTTAATTGATAAATCTAATGGACGATTTAAAATATTTCCGTTGTATATGGTCAATCGTCAAACTGATTTTCTCCGGAAGAAGAAAGAAGAATTATTCATAAACATTCTCAACCCGGGATTAAATGATAAATAATATTTTATTTTTTACGAAACATTATAAAGACTTTATTCCAATTTTAAAATGACATTAGTAGTCTCCCTTGTATTTGTTAACGTCAATCAATTGTTTTATAACATTTATGTATACAAGTCACATTACCTGAAGATCTGTGAAAGCAGTGAAAGCGCTAGTAAAAGTGATGAATTGAAACCGTCATTATCTTATATTAATTTTCTTATATATATATATATATATATATATATAAAACTATTAAACAACATGTCACGTATGATGTGAAAACAATGAATCAAAGAATTCAACTTTATATATAACTAATATAGGACAATGGTGGTGTTTAAAAATTACACCATTCCAGGCCCTTTTGTTTTCCACATAATTAATATTGCCAATAATTAACAAGTTCGGGGTTGAATCCGATACCGATACCAATAGTATATGTCAGTTGTAGTTTCCAGTTGTAGTTAACAGTTACCTTCTGTAAATCCCTCCTCTATCAGGAGAACCTGGAATTCTTCCAGTAGTTGTTTTATATGTTACACTATGTTACACTATTTAACAAGTCTGTTTTCTTCTAACTCAATACAACTATTAATTTTGGTTAATTAGTTAAAAAATTGAATTTAGTTTATAGTTAGTTTATTGTAGTAAGAAAACAAGGACAGGTTCAAACAAAGATTTTGAAAGCAGAGAAAACTGTGCACCTTAAAATCAGCACAAATTTATCAGATGACAATACAAATATTAAAAATCTAGGCTAAAAATAAGGCATAGGTAGTTTAATTTAGTCATGTACCTGGGATTCTAGTTATTTTTTAAGAATACAGATAGAATTCTATATCTGCAAAAAACATCAGGAGCAAATGGACCCATAAGGAATTATTACGACTCATCAAAATCCAATATTTTACCTAGCTTGTCTGGACATCTATAATCAGGCCTGCTTATTCATACTACTTCTATTACACATTATTATTTAAATATAAAGCTAAGTGTAAATGATATAATATTGGAACATGTTTTCTAATTGACATCAGTTGTAATAATTATGATTTTTATTTTTATAATATTGACAGATTTCATTTCTCTCTATTTTTACTTATAATGCTTCATAATAGTTTATAAAATAAAAATTATACTCTGAAAATTAAAAATAATATCCATATATATCAAATTATTAACAACATTTCATGTGGCACTGAGCTACCAAATACAACAAGCAATATAGTGAGGTAATGTCTAAAGTACATAACTATGCAGTTCAAAATAGCTGACACTCAAGTTACACTGATTAACATACATAACTAGAGTTCAAACTAACTGTTGTTCAAGTCAACTGCGTGATATTTGATATCTGTGTGTTGACAGATATATAAAAAGTGAAATTCATTTCCGAATGATCTGTCATTGCATAACATGCACCATTTCTCTTCCCTAGGAGTTTTTATCGATCTGCCAGTTTTATTTGCAAATTTGATGTTCAAACATCGTAGTTTAGTAATATGAATTTTATTCTCCTTTTTATATGCCCGTCAAATTTTTGACGGGACGTATTATGGTATACAAATGTCCGGCGTCCGTCCGTCTGTCTGTCCGTCTGTCTGTCCGGCGTAAACATGTCGCATCTTAACTTGAGAATGACTTATCCAAATTTCATGAAACTTAACATAGTTGTTTCTTATGATGGTCAAACGATCTGTATACTTTTTGGTGAAAATAAGATTAAAACTTTTTGAGTTACGGGACTTAGTAACTAAAACAGGTGTGTGTTTTTTTTCACATGTCGAGCCGTATCTCAAAAACAATTTATGATTATTGCTTAAAACTTTACACACTTCTTAGTTATATTAATCTTAAGATCTGTATACTTTTTGGTGATGATTAAAAATTTTATTTTAGAGATATTGAGTATTTTGTTAAAAAAGGGGGAGTGGTTTTTCACATGTTGCGTCGTATCTCAAAAACAGTTTATGATTATTGCTTAAAACTTTACACACTTCTTAGTTATATTAACTTTAAGATCTGTATACTTTTTGGTGATGATTCAAAATTTTTTTTTTGAGTTATTGAGTATTTTGTAAAAAAAGGGGAGGGGTTTTTCACATGTCGCGCCGTATCTCAAAAACGATTTATGATTATTGCTTAAAATTTTACACACTTTTTAGTTATATTAATCTTAAGATCTGTATACTTTTTGGTTTTGATTCAAAATTTTATTTTTGAGATATTGATTTTTTTTTTTAAAAGGGGGGGTTTTCACATGTCGCGCCATATCTCAAAAACGATTTATGATTATTGCTTCAAATTTTACACACTTCTTAGTTATATTAATCTAAAGATCTGTATACTTTTTGGTTTTGATTCAAAATTTTATTTTAGAGATATTGAGTTTTTTGTAAAAAAAAAAGGGGGTTTTCGCATGTCACGCCGTATGTCAGAAACTATTTATGCTTATTGCATAAAAATTCACACACAAGACGACGGGCGTATCATGCGCTCATGGCGCAGATGTTTATTAAAGAAGTCAAATGTTTTTCAAATTAACACAAATTTTCTTTCAATAAGAAATAAAATTAACCTTGAAAAAGAAGTGTCTATCTCTCTATATTCCGTTGCTTCTCAAGCTGACAAAAGACACTGATTGTTTCATACTTAGCTTAAACCTATATTATCTCAAATTGACTTGATAAAACCGATCCTTTTAGAATCACATGAATTAAAATTATGCATATTATACATATTCTTCCAAGTTGGTACTTTTAAATTACTTTGGCCTAAAACATTTCAAGTGTATGATTGATTATATTAACAAGAGTTACAAACAATATATTTGTTATTAATATTATTATTAATTTATATATCTCGATCATCATAGCCAATTATTTTACTAATATAGAATAAGGAGATGTGGTATGATTGCCAATGAGACAACTATCCTCCAGAGTTCAAATGAAGTAAATGTAAGCTCGTCTGCACAGTATAATCATTCCTGGTTATTCATACTTCTAACACAGATAACTAATTAAACATAATGTGCACACATTATAATACTGCAACTTGCAAATATAATTTCATGCTTCGTTTTTGTTTTTGTACAATCCTAAGAACATTTTTACAATATTATAATATGTTTCATAATTCTCAATAAAATCATAAATATACTGAACTTTATTTACTGCTGAATACTGAAAAATGGACCTCATGTTGTCCTTGGACTTAAATTTCTTTTTACTGAAAGCCCTTGCAATGGCAGTTAGTAAATTAACAGCATCATCTGTATTATTGGCCTTCACACTATCCAAGTACTTCTGCACTGTATCCCAGTCATGCTTATAGTTTAATGCTTCCTTCTCTTCGGTAATCAGATTAGAGACAGCCTCCAATGAAGTTAATTTGATGTCATTGTCTATTTTGGTCATGCCTTTGTGAATTCTGTAACACCACCAGAAACTTCCTCCTTTCTGCAAACTGACTGACAAAATGTGAATAATATTATTCTTCAGTTAGTCTATTTTGTTGTTCAAGACTCTTGATAAAAGAGAAACTGTACCATCTGCAAAAAATCAATTTCAGCCCCATCAGGTTCTACCGTACCCCTAACATCGTGGTCTGGATCAGCATTGGACATTATGTACACAGACAATAAACAGTAAACTGTACTTTGTAGTTACTGTGAGCACATTTAATAAACTGACAGCTCAATAATTTCTTCATAAAATATAACGGAACCCCACCCTTTAAACCGCCAAAGGATTTCATGTGCATATATAACCAATATATCTAAATCCAAAATAACAATAACCTGTTTTACAACTTCTCTAACCAGTTTTGAATATATTTAACTATATTTAACTCAGGGGAAATCCCTAAAGTCAAACGAAAAGAAATACATAGATAACATTTCAACATTCAGATGGTTATGGCCAATATAGAAAGATCGACAACACAAAATCCAACTGATTTGTATCATACATTTTGTGATAAGAATAAGTGATCGATTTATTGTTGGTAACTAAAGGTCTAGTGACAAAAATAGGAATAATTGAGATGTGCGTGTAATGTCAATGATATTACATCTCAAAGCACATTGGAAAGGGACATAATAAACTGGAAATAAGTCTCCAAGATATCCCTCCACAAATAAATTTACTTTCTTGAATAAATATGTTAAAAAAGTTCAGAATACCAAATATTTACAAATGAATTAATTCTTACATGTCATATATTTTTATTTAAGGATGGATTTGAAGGGAAGACAACTTTACTACAGTATATACAGATTGTACAACAGCGGCAACCAAGAATTTCCATCACACCTGCTGTCATTGGTTTGGAAAAATATTTCCGGTAAAATTTAAGTATAGTTTATTTATTTTGAAAGTGTTTTTTTTTTTAAGGGATGCCAAATCTGTTCACAAATTTTTGTTTTTAAATACTCCTCAAAAGGTATATATATTCATTTGATATGGTATGACCAAAATCTGAAACATATTTCTTAAAGGAAATAAAGGATTTAATGGTTTTTCAAATAACCACAAACATCATGCATATGGCAGATTAAATAAAATGAAATCTGGAGATTCTGAAAACTTTTGCATATATAAAGACCTTATATTTTCAATAGGAGGAAATAATAAAGTCAGGACAATGTTGTAAGGACAGAAGGAGTAGTGGGCTGTGCTTGATATATATGGTAAAGATACAAGTGTTTTGCTCGAGATCTTAAGTTGACTGTAGATGTCTTTTCTGGTTTTGTTATCGATTTTCTGATGTACATCCCACTACACTTCTATTCATGATTATAGTTTTTATATCTGGAATTTTTTCATAGGGGAAATTTTTATTGTTATATTACACTTCATACTCAACTGACCCAATTTTTTCTAGTCACATCCAAATTTTTTCAATACATGCCCAGGTCATCAAATAATACGGGATTTCATCATATGACCCATTTTCATACGTATTCCACTTCCAGGAGATCTGGACTTCTAATGTCTAAAATGCTAGATTTTCCTCTAAGAAAACGGCAAATTCAAAATACAATTCTGTTATTACCAACTTTTTTTATTCAAGCTACACCTATAAAACATGTAAACAAAATGCATGTCTGGCATGCTAAAATATAACTGTCAATGGTTTCTTTCATGACTTTTTTTTTAGTGATTTGAAGACCATTAAGCAAAGACAACATAGAGAAGCTGTTCTAGCCACAGGAGAAAGTTCACAAACAACAAAGAAGAAGAAGAATATAAATACTATTGTATCACGTATTCATGTTGAAGAGGTAAATTTTGAATTTCTTCAAATTTGAGTGCCTTTGTAATCTAACTACTATAAATCCAGAAATTTTTGCGATGTTTTTATTATTGTGAAAATTGCAATAGGAGAGGTTGCAAAAACAAAAACTCAAATTTAATAATCATAGCATAATTTGTCTGCAGCATTTCCTCATCGCAATTATTTGTCTCATGTTATTTTACATAGCTCACCAAGAGCAATAATAAATGCTTACTAAATTTCCTGAATTTACAGTATTTCACAATAGTAACCATATTTGGTCGTGTTTAATCCATATGAGTACATTGTCTGCACACCCTTTTTCACCACACAAATTCAGGAAAAAAACTTTTTGTCACTTGTTGAAAACATCTAGTGAAACTCCTGTAATTTCAAATTGTGATTGTTGGTGGTATTTTCATGGAAAATCTTATTTTCCATTATCAAGTAGAAGTTGAAAATGCTCGTAAATGAGTCTAGAATAATTCAAGAGTGTTAAAATAACCCAAAATCATCACACACAAAATACAATTGGAAAAGAAACAAACAAATACGGGAAAGGTGTAAGGTAAATCCATACTTTATAGATATTTCAAAAGAATGTCTTTGAAAGGAAGACAGTGCCGTCTTTTAGAAAAAAACTGTTTAAGTTTAGTTGAAACAATATTTATTCAGATAAATCAACATTAAACCATATTATACAAATGAAATAAATATTAAGGATTCAGAAACAAGCAATTTGCTTTTAAAAATCTGTCTCCTCTGTTTAAGTTTATCCATCACATTAATGTTTTAAGGACCTTTTAGTTAAAACAAAACACAATGCAGCATTGTGAAACACCAAATCTGATCAAATGACTGATTACATTTTTTAGTTTATTGTCTCTCCTTGACGGAGTCAAAAAGCGAGACATGGGTATGCTGTTTTCGGTGGCGGCGTCATTAATGTATTAGTTTGTGATTAGGTCTAGTTTATGGTGAACCACTAGTGGTAGGTCAATGATATTTGGTATGCAGTTGTATAAGCATTGGCATATCTCATTTCCATGGAGATTATTTGGCTCCGCCGCCTTAGTCATGGTCTATAGACTTTGAAAATTTTGCTAAGTTAACATGTATTAGTTTGTGATTAGGTCAGTTCAAGGGGAACCATTAGTGGTAGGCCAATGTTAATTGGTGTTCAGTTGTATAAGCATTAGCACATCTCAATTCCATGGAGAATATTTGGCCCCGCCCCCTCAGTCATGGTCTATTTACTTTGAAACTTTTGCTTAGTTTACATGTATTAGTTTGTAATTAGATCAGTTTAAGATGAACTTCTAATGTTAAGTCAATGATATTTGGTATGCAAATTTATTGGCATTTGCAAGTATCGTTTCCATGGAGATTATATAGCCCCACCCCTGATCATGATTCATTGACTTTGAAACTTTTACATAGTTTACAAGTTAATGTTTGTGTTCAGGTTTGTTTAAAGGGAATTACTTATAATAAGTCAATGGTATTTGGTATGCAGTTGTATTAGCATTGGTACATCTCATTCCATGGAGATTGTTTAGCCATGTACCTTCAGTCATAGTTCATCGACTTTGAATATTTGCATAACTTACATGTTAAAGTATTGCTATTTTAATTTCAACATTTGCATTATCAAAATTACAAAAAGGCGAGACATATCTCTGTGATAACAGTTTATTTAAGATAATTAAATTGAGAATGGAAATGGGGAATGTGTCAAAGAGACAACAACCCGACCATAGAACAGACAACAGCAGAAGGTCACCAACAGGTCTTCAATGCAGCGAGAAATTCCCGCACGCGGAGGCGTCCTTCAGCTGGCCCGTAAACAAATATATATACTAGTTCAGTGATAATGAACGCCATACTAAACTCCAAATTGTACACAAGAAACTAAAATTAAAAATAATACAAGACTAACAAAGGCTAGAGGCTCCTAACTTGGGACAGGCGCAAAAATGCGGCGGGGTTAAACATGTTTATGAGATCTCAACCCTCCCCCTATACCTCTAGCCAATGTAGAAAAGTAAACGCATAACAATACGCACATTAAAATTCAGTTCAAGAGAAGTCCGAGTCTGATGTCAGAAGATGTAACCAAAGAAAATAAACAAAATGACAATAATACATAAATAACAACAGACTAACATTACTATTAATGTATTCTCTCTGCATGGTTATCATGTAAAATATTTGTCAACACTAATCTATACTACTTGTATGTGATTTTTTTTCCTTTCCTCATCACTGTCATCTTTAGTATGTTTCTCAGTTCCATCATCCATTAATTATGTATGTGTTTTAATGTGTTATTCACTCTTCTAGCTTATTTTTATTTAGCAAGATTAAGCAGAAACACTCACATGGTCATTCTATCAGGTCAAATACATATCTTATAAATTTCAATATAATCATTGAAAATAAGCATTGAAAAGAAGTATAGAATTCTCAAATAATTTTCAAAATAATATATTCTTAATTGTCCTAAGACATTTAAAATCATTAAATTACCATCCTTATATGATTCTTTGTTCAATTTACCTAATTTTAAGGAGGTAACTTAAAACATGATAAATCAAGGGAAGTAACCCTAAATTTCTTTTAAGTGCTTTCAAATACACAAAGCTTTTATTACATAATGGCAATTAGCCTGAGGTAAAAATCGATGATTGATAGTATGTTTGACACCCAAACTGTCAAGTGAAGCCATATAATTATACATCTTCTTTCATTTACAGGTAAAAATTACCTTCATCAGTGACACAAAAACGTAATTAATATTGACATCGATGGTAATAAAAAATAGAGACTGAAAAATTTTTGGGAGTTGAAATTTTGAAAAAACGGAAGATCTGGATTATTAACGGGAGGGACGGAAGAGGGCTTAAAAATCAGGAGATTTTGACTCTCGCTGGAAGAATCACATGTCTGACTTAAGACAAAATAGCTATGAATGCTTGAAATTGCAGAATTTAACAATATAAATTGTTGGTTTTATTCCTACCAGAGCTATCATATATGTTGTTTTTAACTTTCGTCTCATCTTTCAGAACCTGCCTATTGTATTAAGTGTTAGATTGTTCTCATCCTGAATATGCATTAAATAATTGCCACTGAATGTTAAGCAAGCAACAACCAATCAATCATAAATAATTGGATCCATTTGAATTTTGATTGTAAGAATTTTTTATCAATTATTGATAATAGAAACATAGGCTGGTTCATTTATATAAAAACAAAAATGTAAGAATTTTATCAATTGTTGATAAAAAAAACATAGGCTCATTCATTTATTTAAAAACAAAATAAGGTTTGAGAAAATTGGAATGTTTCAGTCCATGTTTTTGTGGTCCTTAAAAAGCAGTTTGTGTTTAAGGCTTGTTCTAGAGTTAAGATTACATATTGAACAAGTACTGCAGGAAAACTGTGTTGATAAGATATAGTTTTTATTTGCAGGCCTGTGCTGAGGTCCAGCTTCAGACAGGTTGTGTGGTACAGATGTTGGAGACTACAGAAGAAATAACGGACCTTATCAAGATTTTCACTAAAGCTGTAGCAGAAAAACCTGCAAAGTTAGTTCAATATAGTGTTCTTGTACATTATTTGACTGTTTAAGAAGTTACTTCTTAGTTTTTCATAAAAACCAAAAAATGTATGCTCTTGCCAATCAGTTGATGGGTTATATAGTGTTGCAAATGTCTTTTCTTTCAAAATTGGATTGGTTCATAATGTTGATCAGGCAGGGCATTCATTTGTCACTATTTTTGAAGAGCCTGCGCAGCATTTATGTTGTAAAAGTGAGACATAACAATCCTTGATTCCATCTTCATTGGCGGCGTCGACATTAAGAATCAGTCTACGGTTAAAGATTTTTTAACACAAGTTAAGGAAAGGCCAAGTGAGCTTTTTTCATCACTTGGCATCTATTGTTCGTTAACTTTTACCAAAATCTTCTCCTCTGAAACTACAGTGCCAAATTTAACCAAACTTGGCCACAATCATTATTGGGGTATCTAGTTAAAAAAATGTGTCCGAAGGCCATGCCTGTCTACCAAGATGGCCGACATGGTTAAGAATAAAACACGGGAGTAAAATGCAAATTTTATCTATTATCTTGAATATAAAGATAAGAAGATGTGGTATGATTGCCAATAAGACAACTCTCCACCAGAGACCAAATGAAACAGAAGCTTACAACTAGAGGTAAAATTGAGAATGGAAATGGGGAATATGTCAAAGAGACAACAACCCGACCAAAGAGCAGACAACAGCTGAAGGCCACCAATGGGTCTTCAAGGCAGCGAGAAAATCCCGCACCCAGAGGTGGTCCTCAGCTGGCCCCTAAATAAAATTGTGTACTAGTTCAGTGAAAATGGACGTCACACTAAACTCCAAAACATATAAATGAACTACAATTAAAAAACATACAAGACTAACAAAGGCCAGAGGCTGCTGACTTGGGACAGGCGCAAAAATGTGGCGGGGTTAAACATGTTTTGTGAGATCTCAACCCTCCCCCTATACCTCTAGCCAATGTTGAATAAAGAAACACATAGCAATACGCACAGTAAAATTCAGTTTAAAAGAAGTCCGAGTCCGATGTCAGAATAGGTAACAAAAGAAACTTAGCAAAATGACAATGACTGTATAGTCTTCAATAATGAGCAAAACCCATACTGCATAGTCAGCTATAAAAGGCCCTGCTATTACCGTTCCTACTCGCTTATTAGTCTGAAAATTGGGAGTAAAATTCATAATCCAGAGAGGGGGACCGACTAATAGACGAGATCTAGTGACCAGAGGAAAAATCCAAGCTTGAGAAAAGTGGTCAGGAGTGAATTTCCTGGTCAAAACTACGTTTTTGATTGCCAAACCTACATAAATCAATAAATAAAAAGTTTTTGTTGAAAATAAATGACTACAATACTGTCTTTGTGTTTTATTTGTTCTTTGGTAAACATTTTCTGCAAATTCGTGTTGAAATTCTACTGTTCCGGTTTGTGTATTGATTTTCATGGTCACATGGTTTTCCTATAAACCCAAAAGAAGAGCCAAGAACCAAAAATGAAAAGGAGATAACAATGTACCAAATATGTGAAAGGATGTTTTCAGCGGAGTTATTGTGTCATTATTGTGATATCATGATATCAATTCAATGCTTATAAATCATATAATAATCAAAAAAAATTTTAAGATTCATTCCCAAAATCAAAATATTATTCATTAAAGTGTCTCTGGTAAACAAAAATTACAAAATTGATTGACAAGCCAATATAATCCATTGATAATCCCAATTAAGAGACAAAGAGTTGTATTTACTAAAGGTGTGAAAACTATCAGTGATAGGTAAACAGATGACACTAATGAGTTGGAGTTAGTTATTTTAATATATTGATTAGCTTCACTTAATTTTTTTAATCCTTTAATCATCACAATATAATAAGAATTATGAAGTGTACATGCTCATTTAACACCGAGTTATGTATGCTGTGAAAAATATTTTCATCAAGTGTTGATTGACTTTAAATTTTTCAGGTTCATATTGGTTTATATTGGCTTTTCTCAAACAATAGGTTGTTAGTAATACCCTACAAAATCATTGATGCATTACGTAAACAACACATGGCTAATCAAACATTTGAACAGTGAACAAAACAAGAGAAATGAATACATCTTTATTATTAACAGCAATATAAATTATCATGATGAGCATCAACTAAATTCAAACCAAACAAACATTAATGCAGAAATGAATATTATTCCTGGATTTGCATTGGTTTTACCGGTGTTCAGTTACTGTCAACTGGAAAAAAAATGCCCAAATTTTGTCCGACTTATACGAGGGTCAAGACTAAATCCTTAGAATTTGGAGCTGAAAAGGGCACCCGACTTATAGTAGGATCGACTATTAGGCGAGTTTCTACGGTAATCTAGAAAATCTGACAGGGGCAGAAATATTCAGAATAGTGAGATCTACCTTTTGTCTATTTACATGTACGTCTAAACTGTCAGATGACTTTTTATCGTTATAACCCTTAAATTTCAAAATTTATCTTTTTTTTTTTTCATTTTTGTCTTATTTAGAAAACTATAATAGATATAGAGAAATTTTTATTAGGAAAAATGATGGGCAAACAAGATCTACAAATAGTCAAACATGACTGAAATCGTTAGTTGACTCCTCATTGAAGTTATTGTCCTTTAATGATGATTTTCCCCAGTTGATTGCATTTTTGTCTTTTATTTTGAAAACTGTTATAGATAGATAGAAATTTTATTTAACAAAAATGATCAGCACGACAAGATCTACAAATAATCCATAATGGCAGAAATCTTTTGTCCCCTCTATATTAGAGTTATTTCCCTTTGAAGATGTTTTTATCATTTTTGGGGGTTTTGCCTATTATCTTGAAAAGTGTTATAGATACAAATGTGGATAGAAACTTATAAAAGCAAAAGCAAAAATATCAACAGGACAAGATCTACAAATATTCCAACATGACTGAAATTGTCAGTTATCTCTTTATAGAGTTATTGCCTTTTCATGATGATTTTTACCAAAAATGGCTATTGTTGAAGATGCCGGGGAATGACACAGGCTCTTTAGAACCTATAGTTTTATAGTCAACATTAAAGTCATATGATACTTCAAATTTATCCAAAAATTGAATATGTTTTATATTCTTGAATGGCCAAGTTTTACTATAAAACATGCATATAGACATTCTTTTCTAAGAAAATCCTTTATTTAATCTAAATTTTCAAAATGTACTCTTTTTATGCTACACCTAGGGGCATTATGTTTTTCGGTGGTCCATCCGTCCGTCTGTCTGTCCAGCTACAGGTTAAAGTTTTTGGTCAAGGTAGTTTTTGATGAAGTTGAAGTCCAATCAACTTGAAACTTGGTACATATGTTCCCTATGATATGATCTTTCTAATTTTAATGCCAAATTAGAGTTCTGACCCCCTTTTCACGGTCCACTGAACATAGAAAATGATAGATCGAGTGGGGCATCTGTGTACTATGGACACATTCTTGTTGAACAATTGTCTTCCGTACTCTAATTTTTTGTCTACATCTTTTCTGTATGAAGTGACCTTAACTGTGACACCTTTCATTAGAAATCCAGCAATCACACATTGTAAAGGCGAGGGAAAAACCATGATGAGAGAAAAGGTTAATTGATGTGGAATGAAGATGGTATTAATTGTTTCTGAAAAAAGAAAAAATGATACACAACTGTTTTGACAAAGTTAAATTAACAATTGGACTGTTTTGACAAAATTAAATTAACAATTGGAAACCCATGAAAAATATAAAAAAAAAAACAAATGTACATCGCTTTTTCAACTCACCTATTTTCCATATGCCTTATGATTCTGTGTTGATTGTTTGTCTATAGGCAACTAAAACCCAAAAGTTAATTTGCAGCAAAGGCTTTCTATAAACAATCACATAATGAAATATATTTTGTACATTATAAGTTATGGATTTGTATAAATGTAAAAATAACGTGCACAGAGGACTTAGTTTATTAAATATGCATGCATTGGTTCAATTTTTACCAGAGACTTTTAAGTTACAGTCTAAAAAAGTTTGTCAGTCTTCAATAACTTTGTCAAACCTTCATAGAATTAAACATAAGTTGGACATAAGCTTTTTTACAAGATCAAAAGACAGTATCCATAGCTAAATATAAGTTGTTTTTTTTGTTTTTTTTTCTGTATTTTACTGATAAAAGGACTTTATTTTTGCAGTTAACCAGTAGATACAGTCTGGGGTTTAAGTTTATTACACATTAATTACTTTGCTATAAACCTGCATAGAATTTTATGAAACTTTGGCAGAAGCTTTTTTAGCTCACCTGGCCCAAAAGGGCCAAGTGAGCTTTTCTCATCACTTGGCGTCTGTCATCCGTTAACTTTTACAAAAATCTTCTCCTCTGAAACTACTGGGCCAAATAAAACTAAACTTGATGGAGAGTGTCCTTTGTTGAATATGCACATAGACCAAGGTGAGCGACACAGGCTCTTTAGAGCCTCTAGTCATGATTAAGGGACAGTCTGGATTGTTATGAAAATTGGACAGAATTTATTCTTCAAGATCAAGAAATAGCATCTAAAGAAAAAGTTTTTTTTAAATTCCATATTCTACTGATAAATGGACTCACTTTTTACAGTATACATAACACTTTTCTACTTACTGCAGCAATTGCAGGTGAGACACAGGGTTGGTTTGAACCCTTTACAAATTTTTACTCAACATTGTCTATCAGATATTTCTATGGGGTCTGGTTCCTTCCTTAAAAAAGAGATCTTTACTTATATATTGGCAATATAAATTACTAATCAAAGGTCAGTGGTGAACAAGCAAATACATGGTTTGATGGAGCCATCTTGATTGAAAATTATTTGAGAAATAAGCTCTACTCAAGAACTGTTTATTTGGTTTTTGTCGAGCCTGCGACTTTTGTCGCAGAAAGCTCGACATAGGGATAGCGATCCGGCGGCGGCTACGGCGGCGGCGGCGGCGTTAGCTAACTTCTTAAAAGCTTTATATTTTAGAAGATGG